CACAGCTCGTGCTGTGGTGGTTTCAATATAGCCAGAGGTATACAATTGACTGGCTGTGCTGTGTTCTCTATTGTAGCCATACCTGCTGGGGGCTCTGCATACTCCATCAATGAGTCTGCTAGAGCTGTGTCCCCAATCCGGTCCAGACTGAATATCATCTTTCTAATTTTCATTGGATCTGTACTCTGTACATAGTACTCTACTGCACTGTCAACATCTGAAGGGATGGAGAGCCAGCCGCAGAGGTCACTGAGGTTACTGGTGTTCTCAAAGACCTTCCTGAGTGCAGTTTTACTTGGAGGGAGTGCTGCGAGAAAAGACAATGACATCATCACTAACCAAAAATGTCTTCATGGAATATCTTATATAAAGTGATGACATCATACAGACAAAAATGACATAACTCAAGGTCTCACCCCAGGGATGAGCTACCCTATCAGATAGCAATAACATTCACTAGAGAAAGGAGAGCTAACGACAGGCACAGTCACATAATCTCACAGTCAACATTATTTCCAACTGGGCGCGCAGCTCGCGGCGACTGTCTTACGTTTCTTCCACGTCCAGACCTGTTCCCTGCCTCCAGTAGCCATCTCTGGGCACCAACACGAACTGCTCGGTGTGAGTTAGGAAGAGGATCGAAGAAGAGACGCGGCGTTTTGCGGGCACGACAAAGGCGGTAGAGAATACTTGCGTGTATGCCTTATTTAAAAATTTCCCCCAACGTCTCGCTAAATTATTTATTGCGCATGCGTATAAAAACTAACTCTAGCGCAATCGTGGACTTCTTTCCCTGTCATACTGTCACTGTTGATGTTTGGGACCATTTCTCTATAAAGTCATCAAAGGAGACCACCGCCGTCTCCCAAACCACAAATATATATTGCTGGGTTCTTTGCTGAGATGTAACTAATAATGTTACTCCCACACCAGTAGCTACTGTTGGTTTGTATCATAGCTACTGCTTTTTTTATTGTCGTTCTTGTAGGTGATTATGAGGAGGTTCAAGCAAGCATTGATAACCTTGAGGAAAAGTTTGGTTAAATTGTTGAAGAAGTTATTATCTCGCTTCAAAGGAGCAAAATCTAAGTTTGTACAGTAGTACGGGAACTCACGAAAATGCCCGTCTTTGAGCACAGTCAGCATAAAATGTTTCTTGAAGAAAATATCGAGGTATTCCGAAACAGTGAAGACAGTGAAATTTTGATTGCCAAACTCAGCTTTTATTGGAACTATCTCTCCCCGCAACTTCTTACACATCCGGTGAAGACACTTTCCAGGAAGGAGGAAGCTCTTTTGAGTGTTTGTAAAGACATTGATACTTATGAGACAAAACTAAAGGAATTTAGGGTTAAGACGCCGTTAGATTTGTTTAGCCAGGTAGACAATGAGTACAAAAAGCCACAAAAAGACTTTTGTGAAGTGGTGGTGCACTTTAAAAATGACGTATCGAAAAAGACAACCATGCAAGATGTTGAAAGATTCAGAATGAGGTATACAAGGCACTACAAGCTTTGGGATTTTGCACTGATGCTGGTTACCAAGGTTAAGATTGGCTCATTCATTGTTTCATTCGTGATACCAGGGTTCAATGTTAGACTACTGGGATAAAACATTCCGAAAGACATTCTTCAAGAATTTTGCATTACAAGATTGGAAATTCACGGATCAAGCGAGCATTTAAGTGTGCTACAGCCTTTAGTTCGTAAGCATCTTGTTCCATCTGATACTTCATATCCCACCAATACCACCACTTCTCCTGAGACTACTTCGGTTTTCAGTTCAGACAGTACCACAGATGAAGATGACTCAAAGGAGACGGCCTCAAATTTAACAAGTTCACAAGAGAGCATGACGGATGGAGCAAGTATGACCTAGGCAGCCGTTTAAACTCATGGCTGGGTAGAGCCTTAGGTGGCGCCACGGGTGGTGCTGTGACTGGTGCTGCAACTGCTGCTAGGGCTGGTGATATAACTGGTGCTGTTGCCGGTGGTACAGCTGGTGATGTGATAGCAGTACTTAGTATAGTGGGCGGAGTGCTGGGCGGAGTTGTAGGAGCAACTGGAGCTGCAATTGCCTTTGAAAAAGATGATAACGAAAAGAAGATTGAATAAAACCTGGTTTGCATTGTTACTGTTGTAGTAACCTTTATAACACTTTTTAGATGCATTCATGATTATGTATTATATTATTATATATTATTATATATAATATATTATTTTGGAGACCAATCAGCTGGCAAAGTTGAAATTGCCATCTGAATGGAGGGTGGAGATTTACCTTATTCCTGTCTCTATCCCATAAAATAGTGACATATATACGAACCACATGAATCTGTCCCCATGTTACCATAATACCGATTTCTGTTTCTCAATAGCGGCTCACTGATTTTTGTCCAGCCAAAAGTCAGCATTATTATTACTTTTGCTTGCTCGGAGATCTCCTACTAGGTACACATGCATCAATGCTTACTACACAATGCCCTGAGGAATTCCCTGTTGCAACCCTTAGCCTCTCGTCCTTTGCCTTCCATTCTGATTAACTTGTTTCAGGCACACCATCTCTACACTCATGATCAAAATACAGCTATAATATCACATACAGCTATCTGAAAAAGCCTCATCCCTTTACTATTACAATATGGCAGGTTACACTTAACACGCATTTACATCCAATCCATTTGGGTCATGGTTAGCTACCTTAAAACAATTTATATCGTCATTTCAAACCATAGTGAACAATAAACAGGTAGCTATTGCTTCTTGGCTGCTTTATTGTGTGTGGTTATAATTATACATTATGTTGCAATAACAAACAGACAGATGATGATGTACAGACTGTCCAGCCAAAAGTCAACATAATTTTCCTCCCCCGCAAAAAATGGACTAGGAGCGAGGCTAGCGTTTCTGGCTAGTGCGCTGAGGGTTTGCACTTTTATCACTACTTCACTTTTATACTGATTATGTTGGTGGAGTGTGCGTGTACATAGGGAAACACATGCACCCATTAATTAGTGCTTTTAAATTTAAAAAGGAAGCAAAGGAGAAGAGTGCTAAATTAATTACAATGCACGTCCAATGGGGCTCAACCAGGCATGCACATCCAGACATAATATGAGAGCTCAAGTTCCTGTGTATCCCAATGAAGCATATTCAGTGTGTAAGGGTGGCACACACGAAGACCCAGTGTATGAACTGGTTAATTAGACTACGACTGTTTTCTTATCCTTGTGTTATTATACAGCTTCATTATTTCCGGCACAAATGTATAATTTTGTGGTTAGTTCTTATCAAGGAAGTGTGTCTGTCAGGCTCCTGTTGTAATACACTACGATGTGAATCAATATTGCCAATCAGTTAGAGCCGTGCAGAGCTCTGTTTTCCAGAACTATGAATTCAATGTTATGAGTGCAACGTTGGAGGGCACTCGTGTACTTTACAAGGAGGTTGTCCTATAACCCCATATAAATTCTTATGGGCTTATGGAGGCTCTGGACACACGTGTCCGTGGCTGGTTAATTGTTAATAGTAGGGTTGCGGCCTGGCTTGATCCTTGTCATCCCTGGATACATCCTGCTGTAAAAGTCCATGGCTGTTGTAATCTTTCACTCCTTGATATGGGTAACGCCTCTCTAACATTTGACTGAGTATAATTAATACTTTCTCTTGCGCATGCGCGTGCGGCGAGGGACTCCCCCCCCCGCCCGCCCGCTCAATAGCCCGGCAGTCGTATGTACGTGATCGCCCCTGTTGTAGTGTCAGAGACGGTTAGGACGGCCATAGAGACGCCCAACAAAATACTTGAATGGTATATACAGGCAAGGAGAGCGCAGTCATGAGGTTTCCTGAACGAATCGTTCCTGGTCTTTTGGCCGCGGTGGTGCTGTTGATCAGTCATGCAGGCTGTGTCCAGGACCAAGCTCCAGGAGATGGTGTAGCGATATGTACTGATGAGATCCTTAATGGAATGCCGAATCCGTTCTTTGTCAACCGCCCAGTGTACTCTGTCAATGAACGACCTCTCATGGACTCCAGAGACTATAACCGCCTGCTTCAGGAAAGTGGCGACGCTTATGTACCGTGGCAGAGCCTGGATAGGGACAACAACAATACTATCGATCTTGTAACTGAGGTAAGGACAATAGCTATACTAAACATAACTTATTAAATTGCTCTCCAGTGGATTCAAACTACATCAAGTACATGTGCTGGGACAGTGACAGTGTGTGGATTCAGTGTTGGAGCTCAAGATAACTGGCTCATCACACAGCACATCAACACAGTGCTACCAGGAGGAGGAGGAGAGAGATTGAGGAAAGTGACTGTTCAGTTTGAGGGAACTCTCAATGGATGTGATATCAGTAGACAGTGCAGGCGAAGTTTTGAACTATACAAATGGGAGACTTCAGCCATCGACAGAAATGGAGCAACTAACACCAACAATTACGTCAGAGTTGGTCGAGTCTCTACTGAAGTTACTAGTGGAGTCATGTCCTTTGTTGGCTCTCATGATATTGAATTAGGCTCCGCAGGTGGTTTTTACTTGGGAGTTGTTGACTCGAGCACTTGTGTTAGTCTCACAAGAATTCTAGTTCTCTACTATGTGTGTCCAGAGGAGACATCAGAACTCATCTCCAGACCGGAGGCAATTGAATCCCAGTCTCTGGAAGGCTCACCTTCAGTGGAGGGAGAGTGTGTAGAGAACAGTTCCACAGAGTCTGGGGCTAATCCTATTCTCATATGTGGTCCTAGGGGACAGTGGCAGGTGATAACACTTTGTCTCTGTAATCCTGGATATCAGCTAAACAGTAGTCAGGACCAGTGCTCAGGTACGACACAATGTTACATTTTACTGTTTGAATGTTATGTCCTTTTGCAGAGTGTCCAGAAGGAACCTTCTCATCAGGACTGGGTAATGGACCATGTGAGACATGTCCAGCTAACAGTGAAGGGAATGGAACTGCTCTGAGCCTCTGTCCATGTCTCCAGGACTACTACAGAGCTCCTTATGAGGGGCCATCCGTCCCCTGTACACGTAAGTCTTGTCATAGCCTTGTCCACAGCTACCTGCAGTAGTCTCACAGGTCTTTGCTCATGTTAGGTTCCTCTGTTAGTGAAGCCTCCCTTTTTGTTGAGGTTTCTCCACTCTACAGGGTGGCGACCTTCCTGTAGCCCCCACACAACAGCTTGTTAGTGTGTGTGTGCAAACTATGTACTACAGTGCTTGTGTACACATTGGTGGTGTTGTAGTAGTGTTCTGTGCTACAAGCCGTGTCCTAGTGCAGGAGAAAGAGCACCACAACAACAACACTGAAACTGTCCCTGTTTTTCTCAGAGCATGCAATATGTGTGAAAGTAGGACATATTGGCAGTGTGAGGGGAGGTTGGACATTTGGCAGCAATCACCATTGATTGTTAAACATGTGAGAGTGGCAGTCTGACTTGGCAGGGCACACTAGTGGTCATGTGCCTGTCTCAAATGTCCCCATGTCCGCATGAGATCACAACAGCACCACGTCCTAATACGAAGACTGTTGATACAGTGGATGAAATCCCAGGCCATGATTCTTGCTGAATATTCACATACTACTCCTGGTACATGCATAAGACTGTGCTACTACTCCATTATGTACATACACTGCTGGGTCTTAATTATACTGTCTTGTGAGTTTAGTCCAGTCCCTTTACTGAGAGATGTGTATTGGGATTAATGGTTAAGGTATACATACACTGTGCATAAAATTGAATTGTACTGCATTTGGATAATGTATGCCTTCACTTGCTAAAAAGTGTACAAGACAACCCAGCTTTGATTTGATACTGGCCTTTGGCTGCTCCTATATACAGCGAAATTTTATCCATGCAAACCTTTTGTTCTGTTGGTGTAACCTGCCAACTGGCAGTCCATGTCTATTGATCTACTACATTCTCTCCCACACACACTCATAATGACATCTGGCCTTCACCACATGTTGTATGTGGGATACCACCCATGGCATTTCATTGGCTGAGCACTGTCTGGGTGGTGGTTGAGGACACTTGTCTTCTACTGCACTCTTTCGCCAAATTCCACCATCCCCATTTACTAAGTACTACTGTACTTTTGAAACAAAGCCGTACTCATCCTTGTACTGAAGGGTCGGCACTTGGGGGGCTGTTAGTTGATTGTTTAGATAATTATTGCAAGTCTAAATGAACACAACATGCCTTATTAGGCATCTGTCTGTATCTCACATGCAGAGTCGCCAGGACCTCCATCTGATGTCAGAGTGTCAAATGTGACCAACACATCAGCCGTCCTCTCCTGGTCTCCTCCTGATAATGGTGGAGGGAGACCTCTCTATGAGATAGTCTACACCAGTCACTGCCACTGGTGAGTGTGTGTTTCTCTTTCTTATCCTTCCAAGCTACCATCCGAACAACGGACAGTATGGGGCCAACCATTTGTCCCTTATAGAGAGGTCGTCCCTATCTCTGAGGTCAAATAATACACTGAAGTATTAGCATGGGGTTGAAACAAGTGTCCTTTGTAGGAGAGGTCGTCCCTATGTATCTCGGAGCTAGGTCCCTTATCAGAGGTTCCACTGTATGTACTGTATGTGTGTAACATTTTTAGTTTTTGTGTTCTGTATTATTTTGAGTTTCGCAGATTTGGTTGTTTATGTCTGTGAATTTTGGACGTTTGTTTTCGAAGCAGTCGAAGCATTGCATAAAAATTTAGTTTCCTTTTGTAGTTACCCTCGGTGCGCATGCGCAGCGAGGGTACAGTAGTTGGGTCTGTCTGTCTGTTTGTTTGTCTGTCTGTTACTCTACATCTCACTTCTCGAACGTCTGTTCGTCCCAGAAACGATACCATCTACCCAACGGGCAACGAAGGTCAGAATATAAAGACGGTTTTCTATGAAAATGCTCCGTTGCAAAGCTAGAGCACGAAAAAGCCAATATGCAAATACGCAACGGACTTACCGCGGTCTGATTGATCCGCGTGCTCTGCGACCTCGGAGGTAGCAGAAGATGCAACGCAGGGCGTGTATCGCCTCTCGCATGCTGTCTAGTAGTGTAGTTGGCCCGCGTCAGACTCTGCGCGAGATGGCTAGAGACCAGGAGTAACAGCCAGAACTAAACCCAGCCCATCAATTAGTGATACAGCGCATGCGTTTACTCACGCGTGCGCGTCACAATGCGCCGAGGGTTTGCACTTGAGTGCTAGTTAGGTAGTTAAGAATCCACAGAATATCCATTTTTGAGTAGCTGAGATTGACACCTGCTCTATTACAGACAGAGGAGGAAGTGGAGGAGAGAGAGTGGTGGTGAGTGAGGTGAATGATACAGAGACCATTGTGACTGGACTGACTCCTGGTGTCCTCCCCTACACATTCTCTGTATCTGCTGAGAATGATGTCTCCTCTCAGGACAACAATATCAATGCCAGGAGTCTCAGTACCACTGCCGACACTCAGGAAGGAGGTCTGTGTATACTTGTTAGTTTGATCTGCACCTCTGAGAGGGAGGCACTTATACAGTCGTTATGACAGAATGCCACTTACTTTGATTTTTAAAGTCAAACATAAACATGTGTAATGACTATCATAACGACTCAGATTGGCTGATTTTCGTGATTTTCATTATTGCATTCCCATATCTGCTATATATCTTGCCTAGCCATTGCCACATATGTGTGGGTTCCAATCCGCCATGGCAGCTCTGCCCACACCACCTGTGTTACAAGGTGGCAGTAGATGTATATACATATGTACCTAAACAATACACACTATATAGTCATGGTTTGTGCACATGATGGTAAGCTCACCAGGCACCCTTTGCTGTCCGTACATACGTAGGCTTCTTAGCTTTCTCCACAGGTGGCTAGTACTGCTATCGGTTACATAGTCTCAGCCACGATGCAGGAGGTTTTCTCAATAATATGAAAACTAGGCTTTGTCATTCTGTACCAGTACGTGTGATGCAATGAGTGATAAGTTTCTATGACGCTATCTACAGTTGGAGGGACAGTGACGGAGTTTGTGGTGGGAGAGAATGGAGTGTTGAGCTGGTCTTCTCCAGTTCCTCCCAATGGATCATTCTCTACTACAATGTCATCATATCCACAGCTGACTCTGGGCAACTGGTCACCAGAGTTGAGCAGTTGAAACGCCTCGACCATTGATGTCTCCAACTATGGAAATATCAACATGGACTACAATGTTACCGTAATGACTTTTGAGTATGGTTTTTCATTTATGTGGGCATTTTTAATGCACAAAGATTTTTTTACTACACAGTAGCTACACAAGACATATTTTAAAGGCTGTTGGTATGCTGTTTCTTGTTTCTGTGATACCCACTCTTGTTTCATGACTATTCATACACATTCACGACCATTTTTACCAGAAGCTAAGATGTTGCACCTGGGTGTGCTAGTAAAATACCTTACAGTTATATACCATAATTAGTTCACTGTGGTGATCGTAAAACAATCACAGGGCTGGGTTTCTGTAGTAAGAATTCTGCTGTAGTACAATAATGTGGAGATGATTAGCATTTAGCACACTCACTGTCTTCATCTCTTGTGCCATGCTCACAGGTTCAGGCAGTGACGTCAGTTGGAGGAGGGGATTTCTCATCTCCAGTGACAGTATCTCTGAGAGAGCCGTCACCTGAATCCACCTCTGGCCCACCAGTCACTGCCATATCTGTTACTGTCATTGTGGTCGTCATCGTCTTCCTCGCTATCATTGTGGCCAGTCTTCTTGTCTACATCTTCTGGTGAGTGCCAGGTATCTAGCTAGCCTCCAATATTCCCTCGTAGAAATGTACTGTACTTTACAAGTGTAACGTGTAAGTGCGTAAGTCATCTAAGCAAGTATTATGTATAAACTGAATGTAGCCAGCGTGCACGAATTAATGTGAGCAGAAGCTCCCTGTCACCTACTACGTACAAAAGAGCATACATATATGTGGATGCAGACATAAGCACATGCTAAAGGCACATGGATGCCTTGGCTAGGGCTTGTACTGTTGCTTTCATCGCTAGTGAGCACTTTCGTTAGGATAGCCTTTTGTAATGACACCTTAAGCTTGCCTCAGCATTTCCTGTTTATGTTCTTTGCCAAGTGTGTAATAGTTAGACTGTGTTAGGGTGGGAAGATATGCTACAGGGGACACCAGTGTGCCCCTAGTATGCCAGGGAGTAACCCTGGGAATTCCCAAATGAACCTCCACTCTATATACATGTAATTTGATCTTTGTCATGTACATATATCTAACACTTAACAAGCCACCCACACATAAATGTGTGCAGAGCCTCCATAAGTCCATAAGAATTTTATATGGGGGTTATAATACTAGGCACTAATACTTTTTACATCATTTTCTGTTTATTTAAGCAGATACAGATGGCGTCCAAAGGGTTTTAATGCATGCAGTATGGTAATTGAGTGTAATGAGAGATACATGTGTTTTCCCTGTCCTTCTGCAGGTACCGAATTCATGTGAGGCACAAACCATGTGAGTGACGTATGTACAAGTATAGCTTGCTCGGTATGTGTTGACGTAGATGGTGAACTGTGGTTTCAGTATGCTCCAATGTTCACCAACACTGTGTCAATGTTGTTGTTTCTGTCAGTTGTGACTGTATGGTAGGTATATGTACTCTGTAGTGTGTATTGTATAGGTACAGTACCAAGAGGTTTGCTCTCCTGGTCACGGTTCTCACGAAAGGTTTTGAAAGTGTTTTCAAAAGGGAATCAATAAACAGCATCTCAGTTAAAGTCCTGGTTCTTGTTGTGCATGTGGAGTGTAAGACGTGTGTGTGTTTGCGTTGTTAAAACGCTGGTTGTAAAGACATTGGTGCAACATTTAGGCGTAACCTTAAGTTGCCTTCCACTCTGTGGCTCAAACGTTGGAATTTGGGATGTTTCAGATTTTTCTCAAATGTTTCACTGTCTTCCAGAACTCCTTACTCCCTTCTGTAGCCTTATGGTGCAAGTTTTCTTTCTTCATTCTCTGTAGAAGGCTGATATAGCTTTTTATTTTCGAGAAGAAAGTTGGGGTTTCTGCAGCTTATTGCAGTCACTATTATAGTGCATGTGTCTTTGTACATTATTTTTTTCCATAACCACACAACACAGTACCAAGGTACATACATACGTACATGTTATGTACAACCGCAGACACAAAACCTGTGTTAGGAATGCGCAAGATCATGGTTTGCCTTGCTAATCTGTGTATGCACAGTACTCTGTTTGGCTCTCTGTGCTGTTTGTTCCACCTGTATTCCTCGTGCAGTCTGCAGGACTACGATAGTAGATTCACTTTTGTGCTTGCCGCATACTCGCATGCCCACACACGCTCAACTTCGCCGGTTAAGTCAACTTCCTATATACAAGTGGCAGGAGTGACAAATTTACATACGTATATTCCTATTTGCAAGAATTGATCCTGGAGTACAGTTGTCTTGATAATTCCAACTGTGGCACGAGGGCCATATCGTGTGTGCTTGTGTATATATGAATGGTTCTGTAAGCATGTTATACAGTAGTTCAGTATATGACGTACACCACACTAGATGGACCACTGAGCTGTGAATGTCTTTGTCTTGATGAACCTTATTGCTGTGGTTATCAAATTTATTGTGTAGTTTTAGGCATATAGTATCCCACATGCACTGTACTAACAATATTAATCATCGTGTAAAGTTCATGAGAAGCATTACTCAGATGCATACAGTGCATGAGAACTCAGATGATGAGGTAACCCGTAACCCCGTAAAGAAAGCTATCTGTGGACAACGCTTACACACTTATTAAATATACATTAATTGCAGTACCTGTGTGTTCACACAATGGTGTTACATTTATCCTGGGATAATTCACTCTATGTTTAAGTGCATAAGAGCAGGCTGTTAATCAATGTATATTACACTATGGTGTATGCCTTTGCATCAGCCTGCTGAGCTGCCCTGGTAGCTCAGTGGTAGAGCACTCTGCCTAGACTGCAGAGTGTTGTGGGTTCAAATACATACCACCACAGGGCAAGTTTTCTGTCTTGTGTTTTCCTGGGTGTCTTTTTGTTTTGTACTAGCCTCGCTTTTATACCTCATTTATGATTCATGTTTATATACGTTGGTAAAGTAAGTGTGTAAGCGCTGGCACGGATCACATTTTGTGTTCTGTTCACAGTATTTGGGATAGAGCTCCCCACCAAGGGTCATCGTATGTACGTCGACCCCAGTACCTACCAGCGTGTGGACGAGGCCGTGGATGACTTTACCAAGGAGATAGGGCCCAAGTCCATCAACCTGACCGAGGAGATAGGGAACGGAGAGTTTGGCAATGTCTACCGAGGAGTCTGGAAGGTCGACAGGAAAGAGCAACTCATGATTGCCGTCAAGACTCTAAAGGTAGAGATATGAGTTTGCGGATACATTTAACTGAACAGCTCACACTTTTACATGAATAGGGATGAATGGGAGAGGACTTAGGGCTTTACGACAACACTAGTGGATCCACCTACATACATACTGCTTTTACCTGATTTTTTGTACATGAACGTTAAGCCTCCTTTGTGCACTATCAAATGCAACTCCTTGAGCAAGCCTTTTTACACTGACATGTAGTGTCTCTGTGACAGATGTGAAACTGTAGCCTTACTTTGCTATAATTATAGGCATATTATTAGGTTTATGGTGTAGATACAGACTGAGAATAGAGTGATCCTCCCAGCTAGAAATGTCACTTAAAGTAAACAACTTGTACTTGTTTCAGAATGAAATAGCACAGAACTCCGTACATAGGAAAATATGGGCTTACTAGCCCTGGATTGGCTACAATGTGTTAATTAGCTAGCGATGGTGTATCTAGTTCTGACAATTAGTGTCTGGAATCTAAGTGTACTCTTCCTATGCCATACTGGCATCATATTAAGTTTACTTTTGCGATACACTTGAATTGTTGGTGATGACAGTTTGTAACAGCAGCTCAGCTGGTGATGATTGTGTTTATGTGTGGTAGATTAGAGAGCTGTGTTGACTAGGGATCAATGCCACTGTGGCTGTTTACACAATCACCTCCCACACCACTTCAGTGGCCTCCCTCCTTCCATGCAGGCACTGTACACATGATGTCAGTCATCAGTACATATGAACAAATACATATATACTCTACTTGCTAGCTTACACCTATGTAATTATGATAGCATAGTCATGCTATTGTTTTTATGTTTCTGTTGGCACACTCCTAGGTAAGTAGCTACCATGTTTCGCAGAACCTCACAGATAGTGGTTTTTGGGGGGACCTATGTACACTTACATGTCTAACCCACCTCTGCCATATTGTAGCTACGTATGTACATATGTAGTACAGTGGTTTGAGGTTTGCCTTTGTGTGTGTGTTGTGTAGTAGATTTGAATTCCTATGGCTGAGTTTCCCCGGTAGCCTCAATTGGTAGAGTGGTCACCCAGACTGCAGAGTGTCGTGGATTCGAATCCCACCTAGGGCAGGCTCTTGTCCTTGGTGCAGTTGGGTGCAGTTGACTTGTTTGCTTTGCCTTTTGCCTTGCTCTCAACCTCATTGTTGTCATAACATGTCTATGCGCTTTCTCGTGTAGCCTGGATCATCTGTGAAGCTGAGGAATGACTTCCTGACGGAGGCATCCATCATGGGTCAGTTTGACCACCAGAACGTCATCAAGCTCTACGGAGTGGTGACAAAGGTGGAGCCGGTCATGATTGTCATGGAGTACATGCAGAACGGTTCTCTCTACTACTACCTCAAGGTGGGTCAGGGTGCTCTCTTGTGAAGGGAGGGGAGCTTCTCCATTCTGGACTACAATATATAGGTCAAAGATGGTACCCCTTTTATTGCCCTGGCTTGTACTACAGTGGAACCACTCTCAAAACACACCTTTTGTTTCCCTGAGAGCAGTTCTTAAGTAATCTACCGAACTATGGACAACTCACTTAATTGCATTGGTGTCCAGATTTGGGGTGGCATTGTGATTGTTTGTCTTTGGGAATTTATCCTCTAAAGTTTAGAAACAAGGACAGTCATTGCTGGTGAAATGGTCATGGTCCACTCTTGAGGGCAGTGTCACTGCCATATTGACGGCGTATGTAGGCAAGGCCATTGAAATAGCCCCAATGTTTTCCCAATTGGTGCTCCCCCAATGTGAATGCTCTTTGCACTTTCTGTGTGGGATCTGTCTGCCATGTCACTAGTGTACACATGTGTACACGTGTGTCAACCTTACATGAGTGCCAAATATGGGCATTACTAGACGGGTATGTAGAACAGAGCCAGACACATGTGTAGGAAATGTTAGCATGTTCCCGAGGCTCGAATCTGGCCAATAGTTAGTTTGTAAGTGTGTGTGTGTATGTACATGTGCTGTGTGTTTAGTAGTGTGTTTAGTAGTGTGTGTTTCATTGTGGAAATGTGGTGGCTGTTGACTCATTGTTTCTTTCTATTAGTTAGTACATATGTACGTATGCTATCGTAATGTTTTACCATGTGGCACATGTTTTCTATGGCAGAAAAAGGACGAGCAGATGAGCAGTACGCAGTTGGTGAGAATGGCACTGGGTGTGGCTAAGGGAATGGAGTACCTCTCTCATGTCGGCTTTGTCCACAGAGTGAGTTGTAGTACTGTAAAACTGGACTCCAATGTACAAATCCTCACCCTCTGTTGTATATACAACCGTATGGCTCCAATGAATGTGTAATTGCACCAACATTGTAGCCCCTTGCGGTTTGTATAATATTGTGTAAAATCTTGTGCAAGCACTACGCTAACAGATTACACTAAATCTGTTTCTTGTTAGGCTAGGGTCAGTGTACTGTGGAAGCATGCCACTGTATCACCCCTATTACTCCTAACACACATCAGAAATTTCTAGGGAATGTAACAGTATATGTATATACAAGGGCTAAATGTTACTAAAGGTAGAATAAGCACCCTGAAGGAAGCAATTGAGTTCTGTTTTTTTAACTAAATTTAGTCTGCCACATTCCCTTTAACCCTCTGCCCAGGATTTGGCTGCAAGGAATGTCCTGGTGGACAGGGATGAGGTGACAAAAGTGGCTGATTTCGGTCTGTCCAGAGAGACCGTGGAGGATGTCTATCGAAGTCACCAAGGTAGCATGAATAACTGGATACACCCTGTTTTAATTCTTCCTAGTAAACTATGGATTTAAAATTACTTAGTGGGGAACATGTTTGTGATAGTATGTCTTAGCATTTCTGCTCCCACATGCTAGGTTTACTGTCCCATAGCACAGTTGGTTGACCTTTTTCTGGTGCTGTAGATTTGAGCCCCTACCTGCAGATTTCTTCTGGCATAACTGGTGCCTATATACGCAAAGGGCAGTGTAGTGGGTTTGAAACCCACTCAAGCTTAAAGGTTTTCCTGGTGTAGTTGTGTTGTTTGATTGCTGTTCCTTTGCCTTGAAATTGTTGACACATGTATACTCATTCATGAAAGAAAGTTGTTACAAGTCGTGATTTGGTCACCATTACAATTGTGTGTCCCAGGGAGGGAAGATCCCAGTTCGCTGGACTGCTCCTGAGGCAATTTCCTATCGCAAATTCACCATCAGCAGTGACGTGTGGAGTTTTGGAGTTTGTTGTGGGAGGTGATGAGCTACTGTCAGCAACCTTACGACGGCTGGGACAACCAGACTGTGAGCTAATGTACACTTTGACTTGTGGCCCATTGCACTCCCACAAAGTGTTTGAAATTACTCAACATTAGGCTGTTGTTGCAGCTGATTACTGTGAAATTTTGCACATCTCTAGCATTCTTATCATTGACTATTTTTTCATACTTCATATTATATTACACAAGTGCTCACAGAATGCAGCTAGGTCATTTTTATATGTGTTATTAAATCACAGTAGTTGTAGGCAATTTTCAGTTTGTGCATCTCTAGCCACATGAACCCTAAACCCTGTGTGTGTGTGGGTCTATCTGCAGGTTCTGAGTAAGCTGGACAATGGTCATCGACTTCACAAACCAAAGGTAATCTAAAGTGGTAATGTGACCAATGAATATAATTATAGTGCGTACACATTACATATGCACACCATTAACCCCTTTGAAAATCAAGACACCTGCATACTAGTATCTGGTCTACAGAACATGACACAGTTATGCTGTATTACATAAGCACCCCCTCACGTTCTTGAGGAGAGGGTCAAGAAAGGTCTGAGCTGAGAGTGAACCTGCATGCAGTATCAGCATGGACAGTCTAGTATCTTGAACAGTGGGATATGGACACAACCTTTCCTCATGCATACTCATGGTGTATTGGAAGGAGTAGAATTGTACCTGCCTGCCCAGTACAAATTTAGTCACCTGAGTGTGGCCCACTGCAGGACTGCCCTGACACTGTCTACAAGTGCTATGCTGGAGTGCTGGAACGCAGAGGCCAGGAAGAGACCAACGTTTGGGCAAGTGGTGAGAATACTGGAGATACTCCTGGAGGGAAACATCGCTGAGGGGTACGTATGAATGTATATACTGTGTCTGTTGACAAGGACTCATTCCTTTCCACATTAACTCTGTACTTAACAGGGGTAATAACGAGCATTGCATGGCAAGAATTTAAGCTGTTAATGAAAGGTACATTCCACTTAATTACATATATGCATTAAAACACAGTCATAATGCTTGGCACAATGTGATTGGTGTAGGCAAGCCCACTACTAGCCAAGAGCCTGTATCTGAACCCAGCTTGCTACCGTACATCATCTATATAGCCCCAGCTCCCAGCTCCCCGCTCAGCACACAGTTTTTGTTATTATATAGTCCGGGGCTAAACAGTAGTACGTATGTTGAGTCTTTGCATTGAGAGGGAGAGTCTGGGAACACGGCTATAACCAGACGAGTCATGGCTAGGGCTATTTTTTTTTCGTCAGCACTTAGTGTATCCTTGGTTCCGTCATAGTTGTGTAAGTAAATGTTCATGTAGGCAAAAAGGTAATGTCCCTGTCACCTCCCTCCTCCGCTGTCCTCTGCGCAGTTGCAGTAAGAAGACCCTCAGAGTCAGCTGAAGTCCTGTATATAATATGTCATATCATTATTACAGGCCGAAGCCGAAGCCTCGAGCTGGAGTCAAGCCGGCGTCCACGAGGAGTCGTGAGGTGGTGAGTCCTCTGGAGTACCAGAGTGTGGAGGAGTGGCTCACCAGCATCAAGATGCAGAAGTACACGGACAACTTCCTGGAGTCTGGTCACACCACCGTTACCAGCTGCCTCGAGCTTACTGCTGACGACCTCACCAAGTAGGCTTGAGTGATATATAGCTTTAGAAGTCGTAATTACTAATTTCTACACTTAATGTTGAGGTCTGCCTTGTTAACATGTTACTAGAGCAGGTGAACACCGCAGACGAGCAGCTAGAAACACGTTTGCACAAATTCGAACACTTACTTACCACCTGAGTTGCCCCAATAGACTAGATTTTTCTATGGTGTCTTAGATGTACGTAGTTTACGTGTGCTATGCCTTTGCCTTGCAAGCTGTATATACCTCATTGTATATGGCAGATTACTGTCAGCCTTTCTACCGCACACAGGATGGGAATCTCACTGGCTGGTCATCAGAACAAGATCATCTCCAGCATTCGAATTTGGAAGAGATCAGTTTCAAAGACAGGAGTCCATTCGTGTCTAGAATCAATGTAATTGTGACCTGTGACTCTAGTGTGTTAATTCGCTGCCTGTCTCTCTGTTCTTGTACCATACTATTTTCAGTTATGTACGATGTTTAAAAAAAGCACTGATGTCTCTGTGGGGTACATACTCATGATGCGCTCATTAATAAATGAAAAGCACTAAAGTGCAAACCCTCGGCGGTAAACTAGCGAGTTGTAGCATCGCTGTATGCTGGGCCTTGCGTCATCGACAGAGCCAGTAACACGAGTTTCACGTAACACAGGGTAGTTAAGGTTAGGGCTCTGGCTTACGCGTGTTACTGGATCACGAAAAAGTCCTCGTTTTAGAATCCAGGCCCTTGCACTCAGACCCCTTCATTGACCGTACCTGTCTTGTCCGACGGCGCGGGTCAGCGATGTCGCATATCGCAGAGACGAGCAAGCCGTGGCCTTCCTTCCAATGTCATTCAAAAGCTCCGCCTACCGACCGTATTCGTGAACGCAAATATTCAGTGATCTAGTTTGTCACCCATACGCCCTAGCCCTTTTTAAACGAACGTCGGCGTTGCTAGCGGCGTTGTCACGCAAAAAATGAGCGTTACGTAATCTTAACGTGACGTCACTAAGTTTGTATTGCGCGGAAGCGGCGAAACACCCGTGGGTTACAGTAGTCGTTCTGTCGGTCTGTCCGTCTGTCTGTCTGTCCGCGCGAGTTCTCGCACTACAGACTACGAGGCGGCCAATCAGTGGCACCAACGGGTTGTGAACAATGAGAAGATGGATAAAAACATGGCGATTTTCCTGAAACGACTGCGTTCCAGAGATATGGCTTGAAAAACAAGCGAAAAGCCAACGTGCGATCGATAGCGCACGCGCCCTCTCCGGCAGGCTATATAGCGCGCACGCGTCATGTCGCCGGAGCATGCGCTAGGCCACGTTGGTTGTATAATTATACGATCCACGGGCTTCTGTCAGTTTTGATCTCTGTTCTCTTTGTTTTTAAACATGCTGAGCAGGGTATGTTCGCAATGTAGCATAATAGTTCAGTTGGCGAGCAGTTTGTGGCTGCGGCCTTGTTTTCCCATCTATAAAACGTCTGGCGAGAGCATTGAAACACAGAAGAGCGAATAAAGCAAATATGAGAGCCTCTGAAACACCTGAGCCATTTCTCTAACCGCTAATGCAACTAGCTACCCTGTGTTACGGCGAGACTCGTGTTACTGGCTCAGTCGATGACGCACGGCCCAGCATCGCATATACAGCGATGCTATAACTCGCGCGTTTAGCTCCGAGGGTTTGCACTTTAGTGCTTTTCATTGCATTAGCGGTTAGAGCAATAGCTCAGGTGTTTCAGAGGCTTTCATATTTGCCTTATTCAATCTATCTGCTCTTCTGTATTTCAATGCTCTCGCCAGACGTTTTATAGATGGGAAGGCAAGGCCGCAACCACAAACTGCTCGCCACCTGAACTATTGCGAACATACCTTGCTCAGCATGTTTATCGTTTATCCACAGTTAATATTAATCTTCTCGTCGTTCACAACCCGTTGGTGCCACTCATTGGCCGCCTCGTAGCCTGTAGTGCTAGAACTCGCGCGGACGGACAGACAGACGGACAGACAGACAGAACGACTACTGTAACCCTCGCTGCGCATGCACGCCGAGGGTTAATTACTATCTGCACACCCCATGCAGTTGGAGGGACAGTGACAGAGTTTGTGGTGGGAGAGAATGGAGTGTTGAGCTGGTCTTCTCAACGGAACCTCGCTAATATGACCACTTCTGTGAAATGGGATAATTAAGACTAGTGACCCATTGCCCTATGGACACTTGATGATAATACCTACGGGCTTTTCAAAAACAAAAAATATGAAAAGCACTAAAGTGCAAACCCTCGGCGAATTGCGCATGTGCGGTAACACTAATTGATGGGCTGGGCTTTTTATGCCTTTACTCGTGGTATCCCGCTAGTAGCTCGCGGAGAGTCTGGCACGGGCTAGCTACAGTAGTAAATAGCATGCGGGAGTCGATACATGCCCTTCGTTGTGACTTGTTGTGCTGTGCCTTCAAGACACACAGAGCGAACGGACGCGGTCGAGGTAAGCCTGTGCTAATTTACATATTGGCTTGTTCACTTGGTTTTCACGCCATAACTTTAAAACACAGTACGAAAACGCCTTTTTTAAAATCAACCCGTGTACACGAACCCGATCATATCGCTATTTACCTGATTTCGTGCGCGCGGTGGCAGAAAACGTGGTAACAGACAGACTGACAGACGGACAGACGGACTGACAGACTTGACAGACACACTTACGGGATAACTATATACCGTAACCCTTGCTGCGCATGCGCGCCGAGGGTTAATTGGCGAGCGGGAGCGAGCCAACCTAGTCGTCGTAACGGGCCGATTTCTCTATACGATCACGACCGACCGTCGTCGTACGTCGTGTAAGTGCGCATGCGCGACTTCATTACATACGCACGTGTGTAGTCTGACAACTGTGGCAACCATGGACCGTCAGTCTACAGAGGATGCCCTTTCGTCGAAGAGAGAGGGAAAGAGAACGTCGTGCCCGTGAGACTCCTGAGCAGAGAGAGGCTAGCGATACGTCGTGATAGGGAACGGCCAAGGGAACGCCTCGCCGCCGAAACAGCGGAAGAAAGGGAAGCACGACTAGCGAGACGTCGTGTACAAGATAGAGCTAGACGCGCTGCAGAATCAGGGGAAACGGAACAGGTCAGGCTCACACAGCTCCGAAACTACCAGGCAAGACGAATTGCTGCCGAGTCCAGCGGGGAGACAGAGGCCTGCCTGCAACAGGTACGCAGGAATCAAGAGCAGAGAATTGCTGCCGAGTTCAGCGGGGAGAGAGAGGCCCGCCTACAACAGGTACGCAGGAATCAAGAGCAGAGAATTGCTGCTGAGTCCAGCGAGGAGAGAGAGGCCCGGCTACAGCTGGTACGACTTAACCAACAACAACGGATTGCCTCAGCAGGCAAGTACTGCCACTTCAACCCAACCTCAACTTCACCAGCCAATTGTCCAATCAAACTTTTAAGACCTGTATACACATTTCTTGGTTGGATCGCTCCCGCTCGCCAACAATGGTTACCATTAAACTAGTAATTATTGGCGAGCGGGAGCGAGCCAACCTAGTGGTACGAACGGCGCGATTTTTCTATATATCTACGACCGTCGTCGTACGTCGTGTAAGTGCGCATGCGCGTCTTTGTACACGCTTCTTTTTATCCGAAACTATTTCCAAATTTTTACACATTTTCACACACGGTGCCTGCCTCGCGATATGCGCCGATCGATCTATATAGCCAGCTAGAGAACTCTCCTCCATTCGACGGCATGCGCTGCAACCTTCGGTGACTGACCGAGGCTGTACCTCTTCCCAATCTTCATGGTTCCAAGCTGCAACTTGCAAATACGCTAGGATTGCTCGTGCACGTACTGCTGCATGCCAGCTGCCTGGTGAACCACGACTGACGAGTTGAAAGCGTAAGGTAAGTACCGTTCTGCTCACCTGCTCACCGTTCTGCCAATGTACAATACGTTATGTAACGGCGACAGGTAGCTCTGTCTTGCTTCACGAAAGGAAAGCTGTGCGCTGACGGCACGTTATGCAACCCGAACATCACGGGCAAATCCCAAGTTGGGTCGCTCTCGCTCGCCAACAATGTTCAACATTTGCACTAGTAATTATTATATAATTACTAGTGGAAATGTTGAACATTGTTGGCGAGCGGGAGCGACCCAACTTGGGATTTGCCCGCGATGTTCTGGCTGCATAACGTGCCGTCAGCGCACAGCTTTCCTTTCGTGAAGCAAGACAGATCTACCTGTCGCCGTTACATGCGTACTGTATAGATAATTATTGCCAGAACGGTGAGCAGGTGAGCAGAAGGGTATATACCGACCTTACGCTTTCAGCTCGTCAGGCGTCGTGGTCCACCAGGCAACTGGCATGCAGCAGTATGTGCAGGAGCAATCCTAGCGTATTATACTATTTGCAAGTTGCACCTTGGAACCATGAAGATTGGGAAGAGGTACAGCCTCGGTCAGTCACCCAAGGTTACAGCGCATGCCGTCGATGGAGAGGAGAGTTCTCTAGCTGGCTAGATCGATCGGCGAGGCACCGTGTGTGAAATTTTGGAAATTAAAAAGAAGCGCGTACAAAGCCGCGCATGCGCACTTACACAACGTACGAACGCATATATAACAAGTGGAAAAATCATTTCTTCAAAATGAAAGGGGGATATAGGGATGGCTTGAAGCACCAAAAAGGAAGAAACAAGGGGTCATTACACAGCAAAGATGCACAAGGCTACATGACACCATCCCTATATCTTTGTCTCATATTAAACTTTACTTGAGAACAATAACACAAAGATATAGGGATGGTGTCATGTAGCCTTGTGCATCTTTGCTGTGTAATGACCCCTTGTTTCTTCCTTTTTGGTGCTTCAAGCCATCCTTATATCCCCCTTTCATTTTGAAGAAATGATTTTTCCACTTGTTTCCACTATTTTTCATGCCTTATGACAACACTGCATTTTCAGTCACGTGTGACGTTTAAAAAAAAATAAAAATAAAAATAAAAACTTCCAATTCTACACACGCGCGTACGCCGGGGCAGATATACAGCTAGACAGTCATTGTGTACGGTGTGTGCTCGCTCTCCCGGATCCCCCGCTCGACAAGCATTTGCCTACTAGTAATTATGCCCGTGGCCGGCCGGCTAGCAGCGGTCCGACTCGCACGGTTTGCGCATGCGAGCAAGTCCCCCGCATGCCGACCGCAGATTTCTTCTGACCGAGCTATCTACACCCCGGGTGAATACAGGCAAGGCTAAGCGTGACATGGCTTACCAACCGATAGTCCAGGGCCAGCAGCCATATCTCCCGCAGCAGCAGCCGTATCCCCCGCAGCAGCAGCAGCCGTATCCCCCGCCGCAACCGGGACACCCGCCTCAATATGGCAGTACATCCAACACCACGGTAGCCACGTAGCTAGCAATTTTGACGAAACATGCTACTGTGTTGTCCTTCTTGCACAGGTGGTTACGGTGCAGCCAACCCCGGCGGGCACGGTTCATGTCTACGACACTAAGAAAGTCAATACTAACGGGGCGCTGGTGCTCAGCGTCATTGTGGCAATCGTCTGTGGATTTATGTCGCCGATAACGCTTTGCTGCTCCGTGCCTGCTGTGATCCTCGCCATAGTGGTAAGATAATTATCAGTACTGTAGCGACACAAAAGGAAAGACTATAGTTAGCATCAATAGTATCGTTTAGCTCTTTGTTCTCTTTTCAAGCATAGGCTATGTTGCATGCCTGTATAATAGATATTATGTCATTGACGTATATTATACCAGGGCTTGCACGCTTTTTCCTTAGTCTTGTGAGCCAGCCCAAGAGACTATTTGCCTTTGGAGGTTTTAGAGAGACACTTCCTTTAACTTCTTTGTTACATTTCAGGCTATGGATGGACCAAATCTGGAGGAACGTGCCTCGAAAGTTCGCGTTTCCTTTATACTGTCCATTATTGCTCTGACGTTTGGACTGGTGGTCTCTGTCATAGTTATTATACTTATTGCTGTCGGGGGAGGGTGAAACAACCCACAGTTTCTCCCTAAGCGTGGAACTGACACTATAATAGCTGTGCATGGTTTTTGAAATAGTGTGCATGACAATTGATTGGCAAATGAGTTACACATGCAATGTATGTTGCTCTGAACTCCGTTTGTTGTTGCTGCTTACTATCGTTAACGTTACATTACCCAGTATTAAATAACCAACCAAATTTGTGAGACTTTTAGCAACCCCTATATAGGTGAAAGAATTCACTACACTACTGCCTAGTTCACCTGCATACTATATATGTATATACACAAAAGTCCTCCCTCTGAAGGTCTTATCAGCAATTCTCTGAGGTTTCAATGTTTATGTTAGCCTTACGCCAAACTCAACAATGAACTACTCTACATAATTATGGTATGGCGTAGAGTAAATCTGGTAAAAAAATCGACTTTTGAACAGAGATATCTTTGCTAAAAAGTTAAGAGGACCACTAGGAGGAGTCCGACCCCCAGGATCATGAGGGCGAGGTAGGAGATGAGGGCAGACACATTGAGCCACAGGGACCACTGGGACTTTGTTCTCGCCTCCATGTACTCCCCTCTCTGCTTGGCACTCTTTGACTGACAAGACAGGGGAAAAAGGAGACAGTGGGGGATAGTTCTGTAGGGGATCAAGCTCCATAGCACAAACAGGTTGCTATAATACACACTCAGTGTAGGTGTATATACACACAAACCAGTCTCTCAGGTCTGTGGTGTGTATGTACAATTTTTACAGAGCCACATACTAATTTCTGCCTGACACATATCTACACATCTACAATTTATGCGTGCCACACATACTCTACTACATTTTCTGGTCTCCCCCACATACTGTGGGGCACCCTGGCTCAGAGGGGGTGAGACCAGGGATAATGACAGAACTTACTTTCTTTGAGAAGGAGAGAGCTGGAATTAGGCATAGGAAGGCAATGGGGTTGAGCAGAATCCCACACAGTATCATCATCAAGATTGTCAGGATGTGGTGATCTTGGATGCGGGGCAGGACAGCAGATATGAGTCTGTCTTGCTAGTATAGTGTGCGTATGTGTGTGTTTGGACAGTGCATACTTGTCAAGGGGGATGTGTAACTAACTCGGGGCCTACCCGGCCTTGGATAGGCTTAACTGGGGTCGTATATACGATCGTGAGGATCGACGTCAACAACAATCTCGCACATGCGCAGAGCGTAGCAGCGCGCGCATAATGATTACGTAACTATACTATCCGAGTTTGTCTGCCGCTTCTTCTACGGAGTCTAGCTCGAAAGACAGTTGGGTTTGACTGAGAATCCCTTACATCGTCATTCAGCAGAGAAGGAAGTGGGTTGTAGTGGCCGTGGTCGGCTTCCGGAATCGTCTGCTCCTCCGTCGTCTCCGCAGCGACCTCTCCTTCCATCCCTCGGCCGCTGTACAGCGGAGGAGCTTCAGGAGGGAGCGCCGAGTAGGGCGGAAGAGTTGCGGACATACTCTTCTCTGTCTTTTGCTCTTCTACGACTCCCACACTGTGATTCGTGAGTGTTTGTCGAGTCAGCAGTCACGCCTACCCCTAGTACGTAAACGTTACGTGACACGAACGCGTTATGCCTCCGTAAATGTGTTTACAGATAGTCATTGAGCAGGATATAATACAGCGCCACTGTTGCCACTGCAACCACAAACACAACATACTGGCAAAAGGCCAAGAGGTTACAAGTTAGTGCACTTCTGCTGTACCCCACTGCCAGCTCATGTCTCCCTTCCGTGTTCAGCTTCTGAGTCTGAAGAAATACACGTTCATCTTATGGCCATTTATTAGCTGGTTCTTACTCTAATGCTGTAGGCAAGGGCAGGCAGGACACACAGCAAGGCTGGGAAGTTCAGTTGAAGAGTGCACAGTAACACGCAGACAAACGATAGCTTCATGTAGTCATCTGGAACATTCCGTGGTTGGGCTCCAGGCATAGAGACAATGGTTCTGTGGTATTGCTGTAGAATGAGCACAATCACACGTCATGGTTACATTGTGTGTATCTTTTGTGTTACATACACATAAGGCTTCAAGAGAGCTATCTGTGCTATAATATAGTGCTAACAAGCAAGATGTATGCTCAAGCAGTGCATAATGATGATTGAATGTTACTAACTGCTTGATCTCTTGGAAGGTAGTGCTCAGGGTAGTGTTGGCCTATCATTCCAGGCAAGGCGTGCCCAGTGTGGTGAAGATTGTGGTGATGGTACAAGTAGGGGCTGCTATTGTGTGAGAGTGGAGGTTGGGTGGTGTCACAGACACTGCAGCGTTGGGTGAACGGGGGATGCTGGATGCTCTCAGATGGACGGTGACCGCCGACTCTGGATTGAGGCTGGCGGTTGTTTGTAGCACTGCTACTTGTTGTTACAGGTGCTGGGAAAAGGCTGGAATAATGAGGGGGAGGCTCCTCGATTAGAGGACCTGCAACAGTTTGTCTCCTCTGTGTTGGTGAACTTGCTACCCCAGTTCCCTCCCTAGCTATGAGCTGAACTGGACTCTCAGTCGCACCCGGCAATGTTTCCACAGTTTGACGAGCATCTCCACCAGGTGGTGCGGTCGGACTCTCGGTGTGCCTGGTCGACGTTGCACTTCCTGCTGCTGTGACGGTTGCTGTTCCACCGCCAGTCTCGTCGCTTAGGCGTGCATTATCGTTGTTGCCGACCGCCTGTGCTGCAGGCTCCACGGACAACAGTGGCGGTTCACGAGCGGGACAAGTATCCAGGTCCTCTTCGCAGCTTGAAACGCTCTCTATCTCCATGTCGAGCCCTGCCCCTTTGTCGCACACGAAACGAGCCACACCTCCTTGCTAGAGTGTGTACGACGAACGCATGCGCATCACAGCACAGTTCTTTGATGCTGAAAAATCAGGTTGAAGGAAGGTGTAGACAGTCTCTTTCGGCTATTGGTCCACAGAAACAGACACATTGTCTGGTGACATGCTGGACTCTCTCGAACCCTGAACGAAGATGAGAAGGAAATTGTGACACAAAGCAGCGAAATGAATCATGAATAGACCCCCTACCATTGGCCTATATAGTCTTTCAGAATAAACACAGCTTAGGTGAATGTAGGTGGACTGTAGCTCACTGGTATAGCTTGCTAGATAGCTGCGTTCTCTCCATAGGGTCCCGAGTTCGAAGCTATAAGCATCTCGTAAAAGTATGTAGATCGCGCAGTACTTATAATTTGTTTAATACTTATGCGATGTCTAAAATTATTGTGGGAGATACCAGCATCAATGCCATCTGTTGACTAAACAACTAATGTGCAAAAGATAAATACAAAATGAGCTAAAACAGTACAAGTGCTAAGACCACACCAGTCACAATCACAGCAACCATCATGATGACATGCAACACAATGCCGAGAATGTTAAAGCACAGCACATATTCGGAATGCTTCTTTGCCCTTGTGTATCTCTTCTGCAAGTTCATCTGATGGACCTAAATGGGCAGATAAATAAAAATGTCCTTCTGGTAACATGAAGCCACGCTACATGCTATCAGTGGGCAAGGTTTAAAAGGCATTTGAATAAAATCTGAGATCTTTACCGACACACTAGCTCTTAACAGCTGACCTTCTGGGCACAAAACAGTGCTGGTAGGGAGCACACTGCCAATACTACAAAATTTCCACACACAAAAAATAGGATTGCCAATATCTGTGTGAAGGTGATGTATGAAGGTGGAAGTGTTTTTTCTTCTGACCGTTTGTCCTGTGGTGAAACAAACGTTTACTATTATAGCTGACGTGTCTTATTATAGCAAACAAAATTGAGAAATGTTGTTGCAAGAGACTACATTTGTGAACATACTGGTTTTGGTGGTGCTGCAAGCAGTTCTTTGGGGCTGGAGATTGGTCTGAAGTAGTCCTGATTGTGAGAGTACATCTGCCCAGTCACGGGGTTCAGATAGAGGGCAACAAACTCTCGTGTAATTGGCTCAGAGATGTGGATCATGGAGGAAGCTGCTGCAGCAGAAGGTGATTCTGCAAAGCCGTTTGATTTGGCCCCGTTGAGTTGATTGTGTCCTGCCCCTGCTGTTACTGGAGCATGATTGCTGGAAGTGTGAGAGAGTCTGGAGTGACGAAATGAGCCACCTCTCATTGGGGTGGCCAGCTCGGTGAGGGACAGGGTGGGGTTGTAGTGGAACAGCGGTGTGTCGGGTAGCTCGGCAAAGAAGGAATCGGTGCTGAACTGGGCATTGGAGGAGAAGCGGTGAGCCGCGCCAGTCTCACTGATGGTTCCCAGGGCAGAGACACTGGAGGCGGAGTGTAGGGCAGAGTGGGCCGGGATCTGGGAGCTGAGGGAGATACTCTGCGGCCGGCGACTGTTGTAGTAGTCGCTCCTCGAGTCTGCCAGAGAGTGCCGGAGATCGCGGGACCTCTGTCGGGATTTGAATCGGGCCGGGCTAGTAATGGAGCTGTGCTCCAGGAGCTCGCTGGCTGAGCGTGTTCTTGGGGGAGGGTAGTCTGGCTCACAGTCCAGGTTGGTCAGCGAAGAGGCTGAGCTTAGGTGACCTGCAACCAACATGTCTCTCACCTAAACAGATCTAAACCTACGCAAAGTATCTATGCTCTAGCTATACCATTGAAGAGAGTTTACATAGTGATTTTATGTTATGTCCTCACCTCTCTGGGCCATATCTTCCTCTGTGCAACTTCCACTGCTGTCGCTGCAATCAAACAAGTACACTACTGATCAAGACATGTCTAACTGCAGTCCGTAGCTCAGCCACCCTACCATATAGGCACAGGGTGGTTCTCTGTGTATAGCTACAAGAATCTCCTCAGGTATTTACATTATTATAGCAAGCCACATAAAATTGCACACGACGCTAAACTTGCCAGACCTCTCTCTCAGCTGTGGAGCTTGTGGAGCTTGTGTAGCACAACACTGGCCTTTATTCACACGTTCCGTGTGCAGTCATCAGGCCAAAGGAGGAGATTAAGTGTCTCCAGTGCAGATTATGAGCTCCACGCACACATCGCATTGCAGTTGGTTTTGCTTACGTTTGATCACAAGCGCAACAACGTTTGACCGCATAATGGACTTGGCAGCACACTCACTTTGCCAATTACATGTCTCATTGCAGACTTGGATGAATCTCAATGGGCAATAAGCATGGAGCTTTATTGATCTTTTGAACACAAATATATACATGACGCAAGTTGCACAGGCTAAACAACACTGAACACAAATCGAAGCATTATGGGGATGAATATCAGTGCACAGAGAATGAGAACGTGTGCACATCCTCCAATGATGTTGAAGCACAGTGCCTTGGTGCCGAATGACAGTGTTCCTGCAAAATCACCCTCGTATTTAGCCTTCATCGCCTGGATGGAACAAATCAAGAAATTGAATGTGTGTATGTGCATGACATGTTGATGATGTAATGTTCTTTCAACTAAATAACTCTTGTAGTGGGTTTTGGCACATATATCTCGTCAATCATGCAAGAATGCAACTTATAATTTTTTCAGAGTAGGACCAACATCATCAGTCCATCACATGCTGCATACTTTCATCATTCCCAAGCAATTAGGACCAGGTCCGTTATATTTAGGCTCGCGTGCCTTCTCAGAGGCTCTGCTGTTGCGTTATGCTATATACACCTGCTTTAAATGGTCTTAGAGTTATCCTCTGCCGTTGCTAGGCTACCCTACAGCAGTGTACTTTGCGTGTACCTCTACACATTATGAGCGCACAAGTTCGCACAGACAACAATGCTTGGACCTTTTTGGAAAACCAAAGTGCTGGAAGTGAGCAGGCCAAGACAACCACCACATTGAGACACATGATGTAGAGTATCGTCATGGCAATGGAGCAGTGGTAATAATCGTAGGGGGCACTCATGCCATACGATGAAGAGGTCTGGCGACCGCTCAACTCTGTTGCCGATAAACGTTGATCTGACTGCATGAGGGGGAAAAACACCGATGCAACAGTAAACTATTAGTCGAAAAGGGGAAGTATAGTACTTGTATAACTAGCATCAATGAACACCTGGTTGAAGCTGGTTCCCCTCGGAATGCTGACATTGTCGGTAAAGTACTGGTTTGGCAGCGGCTTGTAGCTGCCGCCTATGTGCATGAAGAGCTGTCCAGTCTCGGGGGAGAAGAACACTGGATGGTAGGTGAGCTGTTGAACATCTCCACCAAACCCGTCTCGTGCGTCGTTACGAGGTGATTGGTTGTGCTCTGCTTCAACTGCTGATGCCCGGGGCTGACGGTCAATTATCACAGGGGCTCCCCCTCCATTGCTAATACCCCTACCATTTGTGTCTGGGGAGGTCTGGTGGGGGGAGTGAGGGGAGAGGTGAGCTGGTGGACTGGGACCTCCGACAGCAGCGGGAGTCATCATAGCTCTGTGTGTGAAGCCCTCGTGTATGGGCATCACATCAAACTCCTGAACCTTTCTTCTAAGGTCTCGTTCATTGCTGGCCGACATTGCTCTTTCCCTACCCCCACGTCCGTGTACCCTGGAGTGATCTCTGCTGTGGTAGGTGTCCTGGAGAGACAGAGTGGGCAGCGTGGTGGAGGTGTTGGCATTGTACCTCAGTTGGTAGTCAAACTCCCTCTCTCCCATTATGTCCTGTGACATAGAGTCCCTCAAGTGTGAGTGGCGTGCGTAGAGACCGAGTCCTCGGCCTGACTGGAAGGACTCCCTGCTAGAGTCCAGCAGAGCGTGGCTGGGAGGGACATGGGACGCGCGTCCCCTGCCTTCACTGGCACCAATGCTACCCTCTCTCGCCTCTCTATCTCTGGAAACAGGGCCTTCCAGGTGGGAATGGGTGTAAGACACTGGGCGATCTCTCTGACGTCGCTCGTAGTCGTTGGGATTGACAGAGTCCAGGCTGGTAGCACCAGTTATGCTGTAAGCTGAATATCCAACAACTCCATCGGCATGTAGGGGGTTAAATGATCCTCCCTGGCTACTGCTGCTGTTTCTGTGCACTTTGGAGCGTCCCTTGGGGCCCTGGCCCAGGGGAGCATTGTATGCTGTTATCACCTCTTGGTAAGAGGGCGGGAAGCTGCTGAGAATATTGCCTGTTGAGGCTGATCTTGTTTGGTTCTTGTTGCTTGAAATCCTCCTGAACTTTGTGCCTGCACAAAGCAGAACATGGTTGATATCTATACAATTACTTGTTGACACATATGGCAGTAGCTAACATGTCAATCAATCTCTGAGTTACAAGCTAACAGGCCTTCTTGTCCAGGCAGCAACCCAGGCACTTGTATACTGCAGTCTGTACTACTGTATTGCTGGCTCAACTGATAGGTGTGTCAATCGCTTCACTGACCTTGATTGGAGTTGGCCATAATTGGATATACGAGTTCCTGATTGTCTCTGCTGTTCGGGACCGTGGAGATCCACACATCACATGAGACCTCTGCTAATCAGTGCCCGATATATGAGCCTGGGTGTAGGCACTCAACTGCTCAGCCAGAATGCATGGAATTATGTGGCAGCTATGCTATATGTGGTGTGTATTTGAAGCCGGTGTCAGGCCCCAGAGTGATGTAGGTATTTGGATCTCTCCCACTCAGGAATGCTCTTATGGGCATTCCTCAGTCGCAAACAAGTCGCTAGCCATCACAGATATATAAGGGAGGGAAGGCGACCCCACCCAACATACACTAGTGTCTGCTTTAGTTGATATGCAGGGACTGGTAGCACTGGGATACATGGACAGAAATTTATACTCAAAATGGTGTCCATCAACCCTCTGACGTAGTTGGTACTGGAATGACGTCAAATAAACGGAAAGGTTCATGCATGCGCATGCGCACGGGTTTCCGCGCGCGCCGCACGCGCATGCGTAAAGGCACCTGCCTGGGAGGGAAAAGAATGGCTGCTCAACGACAGTGCAAAGTTCTAAACGTGGCGGAGAAGAACGACGCAGCTAGGGAGCTGTCCAAGGTCATGTCGAGGGGGAGATTCAACAGGGTTCGTTTATCAGAACTGCGTTATCAAACTGCGTAGGTAGCGTGGCATTATAACCATCACACACAGAGAGAGGGATTTTCAAAGTTCAATAAAATCTACGAGTTCGACTTCAACATTCTCGGCAAGGTTGGCAGAGTAGGATATCTAACTCTTTATTCGTTTGTTTCATGTGCTGCATGCTGCCAGGAGTGCAAGATGGTAATGACTTCTGTTTCAGGACATCTTCTCTCTCTTGACTTTGCACCTGCCTACAAAAACTGGTCGGTCTCTCAAATCCAGTGTCTTCCTCTCTAAATTTTGTGTATTCATGTTCCTATACCCATGGCTCAGGAAGAGCTGTAGGCCGGGTTCTCTGTTCACAGCAGAAATAAAGAGGTTCTGTCCTGAAAATTTCACTCCTATCAAGGTATGTAATTATAATTCCCTATCTATGTGAAAAGTATGAGGTAGAAAGGCAAAGGCACAACAAACAAATCAACTATGTACATTATACTGTTGTCATTGTCTATCAGCATGAATTGGTAGCACACAGATAGCTTTCTCCACTAGATTACCATGAGGTATTACTAGGTTACAATCTGCACATCTTTGATTCCAATCTCATATGGCAAGTTAAACAAAGAGGCCAAAGAAGAGGGAAAATTGTGATTGTAGTAAGCAGTATGCACATCAATTACTGCCAGTCTCTGCCTTATCACTTAGCAATGCAACCAGCATATCTCTTGGCCTAATAATAATATGTGCAGTGTTCCATAAATACAAAGTGCTGCCCACAACAGAGGACGCTGGAGAAGGAGATCCGCGGTTGTCAGCACCTGGTTCTGTGGACCGACGGAGACAGAGAAGGAGAGAACATTGCCGAGGAAATCGTACACGTCTGCACACAAGGTCTGCGAAATACAACTCCACACCTGTACGTGAACCCTGTGGGTAGAGCCCTTTCCCAGAGCAGTGATTTATATAGGTCCCAGCTATTTGTGGTCCTGGGTTAATTGCCTTGAGTTGATCAGTGTGGCTTTCAGAAGTTTTTGGGCAGAGCGGGCAATAAGAAAAGAGTGTACAAATCATGAGCAAGAAACACTTGAACAATCTGCTTTGGAATACACAACTTTTTCCTATGTTAATTATGCTGTTGATGAACTATAATGTAATGTTGCTGATGAGCTTGTGTATATTATATGTATGTACATCATCTGTAGTTAAGAAGACGGTGCAGATCCACAGAGCAAGGTTCTCAGAGATCACTCCACAGTCAGTGACCCATTCATAGCACCCATCAATGTCCCCTACCTCCCTCTATCTCTTTTCTTCACTCTGCATTTGTGTGACGGTGTGGTGCGTGCAGGTCAATCATGCGTGCATGTGCCTCACTCGGTCGACTGAATCAGAACGTCTCAGATGCTGTCAAAGTCCGCCAGGAGGTAGACCTCAGAATTGGTAATACACTCACTGTACTTACTGCCGTAACATTAATACTGCATCTAGTAGTAGGTAACCTTTCACTGATTTTGAGGGATGTCCATAAAAGCTTTCTTTTTGAAAATGGGGATCATTGGAAAAGGGTAAAGCTAGTAATCTTGTGAATTTTCACAAGTCCCCATCGTAGCATCACTCCTTCGTTGCGCATGCATATTGGTGCATTGCTTATACGTGTGCGTTTCTAGTGCGCTGAGGGTTTGCAGTTTAGTGCTTTTCATTCATCCAGTGATCCATAAAGTCAAGTACTTCCTTGCTTGCCTCTTTCAAGCCCACTATTTTCTCCTAACTGTGCTGAGAAATTTTCTCCATTTCTCTGTGTGTCTCCTGAACACAGGGTGTGCGTTCACGAGGTTCCAGACCATGAGGCTGAAACAGGTCTTCTCGAGTGTCCTGAGTGATCAGCTCATCAGCTATGGACCCTGCCAGTTCCCCACTCTTGGGTTTGTGGTGGAGAGGGTGAGAAGCAAAGGGGGGACGGGGAGCTGTAAAGAAGAATGCACTATAGGGAGGAAACATTAAGCGAAAGCTTTTGAGGATTGCTATGTCACTCCCCCGGCCCACAAATGAAAGATTATTCTCAATCCACAAAACAGTGTACGCGAGTACACCTGGAGTCTTGTATAAGTAAGGTTGAAGACTAGCTCTAACTGCTGGTGTGTTGCTCTGACTGTGGTGAGTGTGTGGTGTTCTGTCAGTACAAACAGGTGCAGGCGTTCATTCCAGAGTCGTTCCACAAGATCAAGGTGGTTCACGAGACAACTGAGGGCAGGGTCGAGTTCAACTGGAAGAGGTATATAATTAGTGCCTGCGTGGAGATTATTCAAAGTTTCTCCCCTGCAGAGTTAGGGTGTTCAACCACACCGTGTGCCTGATTCTCTACCAGATGTGTTTAGAAGTTAGTTTGTCCTTCCTGCTGCTCTTCTTTAGTTCTCTTTTCCTTCTCTTTCACTTGCTCCTCTAGTTTCTCTTCCTCCTTCTCCTCTTTATCTTCATCATATTCTTCTCTCTTCTTAGTCTCCGCTGGCCCGTGTGACAGGTATTCACAGCAGACAGCGGAGCAAGTGGAGACCTCTCCCGCTAGACACTGTGGTACATCCACCACCTGTAGGCATGCTACACACACACACACATACATACTTGTTGGATATCCCTAGGCAACCAACATGTATGAAGCTAGGTATTGGAGGATTGTATCAGCCTATACAATCCTAAATGTGCAAGCAGGGTTCATACATGTCATTTGCCTAGGGATATCCAATAAATCTGTTGCAGTACCCAGACAGGACAGCATTCGCCCGTACAGTGCTCTGTCTGGGCACTGCAACATATACACACATACATACAATGAATGCAACACTGAACTTGTAGAACGAATTCAACACAGTACCACGCACATAGAAAGACAGTACTGTACATCGTACAAATGTAGTGCATTAATGGCACGTGAATGTGAGTGCGAAATATCTGGCTAATTTCCTTGAGCATTACAGTATGTGTATGTACAGTGTAACTCAGACCACTGTACTCATTGGTAGAGTGCTCTGCCTAGAAACCAGACTGTCGTGGGTTTGAGTCCCACACCCAGGGCCGCTCTTTTTTTCTTTGCAACACCTTGTCCTGGGTGTATTGAGTTGTAATTTCATTTACACGACCCTGTGGTGTACCGTGTGCATAGGAGTTGGAGAAGACAGGCCTCCCGTAAGATGAGGATCAATGCCAAAGAGACTATGAGAATAGCAGAGAAGCTCTACACTCAAGGGTGAGCTACACACAGTCCCAATCCTTCTCTACTTTAAAGCATAGCTGAAAATTTAGCATGTACGTATACCGTTAGAGGAACAAAACGTTTGCAATTTGGGGAAAAGTAGAATTGCAAACGGTTCCTGGTTTTTCACGGTTGGCTCTTAAAATCCCCTTCCTCGTAAACGTGGCTTGTAGGACAGTGTGTGGAAGGGCCTTCTTCAATGCTGAGGCTTTCTGGAGTGACTGTGTGCATGTCTCTTTCTGGAGTGACTGTGTGCATGTCTCTTTCTGGAGTGACTGTGTGCATGTCTCTTTCTGTTTCTGTGTGTGTGTGTGGACAGGTTCATCAGTTATCCTCGTACTGAGACCAACATGTTCCCGGAGTCCTTTGACCTGACTGCCATCGTCAGAGATCAGACTCCTCATCCCAACTGGGGAGGTACGTACATAATGTACCCCAACACTCTCACCATACCTTATACCTGGAGGTTTAATTTTAAAAACCTCACGGTAAACTGTAGTGTTCAGCTTGAAACAAAATTTCAGACTACTTATTACTCGGTATTGTTCAAAGGTTCATAACGTTGTCGAAAGAAAACATTTTACAAATTGACTTGATTAAGTTTATTGTATAAAGGTACCCTTCCTACAAGTTTTGTCGATTCACAAATTGCTCTCGACCGAAATTCTGCTGATGTGTACAGACATTGCACAATGTCGGTGTCTGTGTTACTGTACAGGGTTTGCTAGTCAGTTGCTGGCCAGGGGAGTGACTCCTCGCCAGGGCAACAAGACTGACAACGCCCACCCTCCCATCCACCCCACCAAATACACCAACTCCCTACAGGTATACTCTATGTATCATTATTGGTGTGTCCAAGTTAGGCAAGTTGACGACATGTCTAGGAGAGGTATACTGGGTACACCGACCATGGTCTCCTCCTCGCAGGGAAATGAGCAGAGGATCTACGAGTACGTGGTGCGTCATTTCCTGGCCTGCTGCTCCCAGAACGCCGAGGGTCACGAGACCAGCGTGGAGATAGAGGTGGCTGGGGAGGGCTTCTCTGCCCAGGGACTGGCCATCACTGCCAGGAACTATCTTGACGTGTTCCCTTATGACAAGTGGTCTGATAAGGTATGTATGTATGTGGTCGTGATTGGACACTTTGTATAATACTAGATAGTACATGTGGAACGAATTTTTGGCCGAGCAAACGCGAGTGCATTATATCAGAGTTTTTTTATGAGTAGCTGCTAAATATGTATGACAACTTGTTGCAAGATAACATCACTAAACTTATGTAGCCTTTAATGGTTGTATATGATGAGGTATAACACTAATTCTGTGCTTGAAATGGTCCAGACGATGCCAGTATACCAAGAGAACAGCACCTTCCAACCATCCTCCATTGAGGTAGAGCAACTACTCAGCATTTTGCACATGTTGTGAATTTTAAGTATCGTATATAGTTGATAGGCATGTAAACTGCACAGCTCATACCTTCACATGAACAAAGAAGGAAGAGATGGGGTGCTTCTACGGGCTTCATGACCTACACATGTGTAGATAGTGCATAAGCACACTTGCTCGCGTATCCACAATGGCCAATGTTCATACGGATCATTATACATACGTAGTGAATGTGGTGTACCAGACTCATAGTGTCGGTATATATATATATACAGAATGTCCAATGTATTAGATGGTGGAAGGGGAGACGAGTCCTCCGTCACTCCTGCAAGAGGCAGACCTCATTGCACTCATGGAGAAACATGGCATTGGTGAGAGTGTCTCTCTGAAAGAAACACATGTTCAGTTTACGCACCACTACGCACTAAGAAAAGGGAGAGAGAGATCAGAAAGGAGAGAGGGGGTACGGCCAATATTGGTGTTGCAGTGTTCAGGGATTTTTGATGCGCATCCAAAGTTTATCTTACTTTGAAAGCCTTAGCTATGCTAGCTCAAAGCATTAGCTGCTATATAGTACCAGCAAGTCCAAAAGTACATTGAATGTGTGTGCTATATATGCGTGGTGTGTGTGATATAATATTATACAAGGTTGATAAGAAACTCGCTCTCTCTCTCTCTCTCTGTGGTGTGTGCGTGTGTGTGTCCAGGTACTGATGCGACTCACGCGGAGCACATCGAGACCATAAAGAACAGGAACTATGTGGGAGTCCAGAGTGACGGACACTTTGTACCGGGAGAACTTGGCATGGGGCTGGTGGAAGGTCAGGCAGAGGTCTAGACTAGCCCTTCAATATAGTATGGTGACAGTAGAATTGTACCAGTTGGTGATTTTCCATTTTACTAGTTCAGAAGTCAAGTGTTGGCAAGACTGTACAGGTTTAGGTCTAAATTGAGGGTTTTGTAGCTATTTTTCGTGGGACTGCGAATTTAACCACTTACCATTAAAATATGTGTGTGCTGTACATTGCTGTAGGGTATGATGCCATGGGGTATGAGCTGGCAAAGCCCAGACTCAGAGCCGAGCTGGAAAACGACCTGAAACTGTTAGTTTTCTGCTTCTCCTCATTATCGTTGTTTTATTTATACATACACATGCGAACCATGTATTAATGTATGGCTTTTCATATGTATGAAGTTTGCCTTTGTGTTGTATTGTGTTGATGATTTGAACCTCTACCAGCTGAGTTGCCCTTGTAGCTCAGCTCTACCAGCTGAGTTGCCCTGGTAGCTCAGTTGGTAGAACGCTCGCCTAGACTGCAGAGTGTCATGGGTTCGGGTTCGAATCCCACCCAAGGAAGCTCTTTCTTCTTCCTTCCTTGAAATTGTCTTGGGTGTAGTTGATTTGTATGTTGTGCCTTTGCCTTTCGACCTCGTAGTTCGCATGATTCATCATTCTTCCCTACAGGATATGTGACGGTGTCAAGAGGAAGGATGGTAACTGCAGTACATTTTACGTATACTGGATATCGTAGTGACCCCTGATTTCCTTTCACTTCCACCACAGATGTACTGACACTCACGGTCAACAAATACAAGGATGTCTTCCACAAAGCAAGTCAGGAGGTGCGTTTTGTGCTCGTTGAGAATCCGTATGCTTGCATGGATAGTTTGTGTTGCAGGCTCACAGATTGGATGAAGCACTATCAAAGTATTTCGGCCCTCCACAGCAAGTCACACAACAAGGTATGTATGAATGCAAGATTTTCAAGGCACATAATTTTATCCTGCAAAAAGCAAGAACACCTTTGTTAGCGACTGTTAGCTACACTTGTTCAAAACTGCCGATTTGCACAAATTTTGCAATAAGAAGTACGACGGGTGTAATTTCTAACTCTTATTTTATGGCTCATAATAAATTGACCAATTGGATTCCAAATTGCTTGATTCAAAAGAGCTGCGCACTAAAGTAAGACGTTGTCTCATTTGTAACTGCAAACTGCAACTTTTACTCTTATTTCTGCGTCCGATGAAGAGGAGTTCATTATGAGTGAGGTGGTGCGACCCTGCCCGGTGTGTCAGGAGAGCGACATGGTGGTTAGGAGGAAGAAGGATGGAGGGTTCATGCTCAGCTGTCTCGGGTACCCAACTGTCGGGCCGTCCAGTTCTTCCCTCCCTGTGTGGCCAGTGCCCAGCCCCACCCCTCCCTCTGTGGAAATGTGCGGCAATATGTGTACTAGGATCCCTCTTCTTTCTAATACTGTGTAGTGGCCGTGTGTATGTGGTCTGTCGTGGTCTGTACTGATATAGAACAGTAGGATCCATGGATATCTTGTGGAAAAGTCTCTGCGTGTAGTTGTGTAGTTTGTTTTGCCTTCATGCAGTGCGGACCGCCTCCAGTACACTGTCTGGAGCTACGGTTCAGACCGGGCTCCGTGCCTCCTGCGTGCCACGAGAGATGACAGCATGCACCACATGTCATCTCACTCTCCTGCACGACCTCCAGTTCCCCTCCATCAGAGTCACTCAGAACAACGCTTCCTCCTCGACCACCACCGGTTGGTACACCACGCTCTATGTTACAGTACACTGCAATGAACGAATGAATGCAGCCCTATATTGGTATAGGAGAGAGTTTTTGTTGATGTAGGGTCGTCTTCTGGTGGGCGTGGGAGAAGGCAAAGGGGTGGAGTTTCACCCCAGCCAAGGTTAGCTATCAATTTCTGTGCTCTCCGGTTTGTACGCTACGCATGTTGTGTTAAACCAGGGACGAGGGGAAGAGGTGGTGGGTGGTGGTGGTGGTGAGAGGAGAAGACAGGGAGGACGGGGGAGGGGGGATGGTGGTGGGAATGGTGATGAGTGGAGAGGTGGAGGAGGAGGGGGAAGAGTGTCTTTTAGTTACTCATCAACTGCATTCACCTCCTCTCAACCAGATTCAGAGTAAGTCTTCTCAGAGGCCCCCTCACTGTCTGTCCTCCTATCTGTCTGTATTCTAGCAACCCTCCAGTGTGTGATTGTGGTGAGCCAGCGATTCTACTGACCGTCAGGAAGGAAGGCCCTAACAAGGGTAACACATACTAATTCTTTCCCTGTTACTGGAAGATGTTGTTCATACATGTACGCAGTGGAACCCATCTCTAATCCGGACACCAACTGCACAAAAGTGCCTATATTAGTGGGGTTTTCTATATTTCCGGAAGTCCTCATTTCGGGATATCCTCCCAGTGTATAACTATACGCATGTACGTACGTAGTGACTGGCGTTGGGAGTGCAGGGTTTCCCCGAGTTAGGGGAATGGTGCTTGAAGCTGAATCCAGGAAATTCCCTGTTTGTCATTCGGTCAGACTAACACACAGCCAGTACCTCTGGCAAAGTACGAGGTACGGTAGTATACACACTGGTCTTTCCCCCTCTCCTAGTGAATTAGTTTGTCGATGGCACCTGCTTGTGCTTGGCTTGAGGCCAGCATACACGACCCAACTTGTGACAGAGTCTCATGTAACAACCGTGTATGGGTATGATGGGGTCCCACGGCAACAAGTTGCATGCCATAAACAACACTTCTATTTAGTCTCACGTGCACCATCGTATGCTGCTGGCCTTTAGAAATGCCGATTCCACAACTGTTCCTTCTTTTTTCTAGCATGTTTGACGTTCAGTTTAATGTTACGCGCAATAGCATCTCCTCCTCTGTGTGTGTAACGTGTCTCCCTGTGTTTGTACTAGGCCGTCAATTTCACAAGTGCAGCAAGCGAGGAGATGGCGGCTGTAACTTCTTTCTCTGGATGGACCAAGACCCACACCCTGCTCCCCTCTCCTCCTCTCTCCCTCCTCCTCCCTCTCCCTCTCCCTCTTCCTCTGTCCACACCTCTGGATACGGCTCCATGAATACCAGTGAGTGGAGCACCATCCAAAGTAGTAATTTCAGCAATTTCATCCACAAAGGGATTACCCCCCGAGAAAAAAGTCTACGACACAAAATTCTTCAAAGCTACCTGCCTCTGTCCCTATCCGTAATAGTGCAAAACGTCTGTGCATTTCAAGTTTTGCTAAGGGCACCGCATGTATTCTACATGTCTGAGTTAATAATTTTGGTAATACTGTATGACATGAGTTTGTATGTGTGTGGTCAAATGGGTTCTCTGTTGTACATGTATGTCGGCACTACTATACAGGTTGCTCTGGGTCATCTCGTTCAGGACCTGGATTTCTCTCTGCGCCCAAACGGTATGTACACACACCCACACACATTCCATGGAGTGAAGTGATTCAGCCCAGATGGCTGTTTGGTTAGCCGCACATTCCTCCGTAGCTCTACTAGACCAGTATCCAACTATAGGCCCTTGATTTGGAGGCAAACCTCCCATTTTACAAGATGTCCCCTATTTTAAGAACTTCAGCAGTCAAGTAGATATAGCATCTAGTGCCTTATCCCATTGTTCCAGAGGTTCAGGGAGGGGCAGGAGAGGGAGAGGAGGAGGGAGAGGGACAGCTGCTACTAGTGGAGGTGGTGCTGGAATGGGTGTGGTGTGTAACTGCGGCCAAGATGCTGTCATGTAAGTCGTACTATGTAACCAGGTAGTCATACAGTCGAACCTCCGACATTGAATGATTCCGACATTTTGTTTCTGAAGAAAGTCGCAGACCTATCGCTGGGTGGCAGGGTGAGTCTCACCACCCACTGTTTAGAGATGAAACAGTGTATATATGCGGAATGTTCCGGAAATTTAATGAATGTGAAGGAATTTCCGGCAACATGCAGGAAATATCCGGTGAAACCCGCTGGTGTTTAGGAACAATTATGAGGAAGGTGGTGGTTGGCTTTCATTTTTCATTTTTCAACCATTGTGATATGCCCATGTGATGCTGGGGGGGGGGAACGGTGGAGCTACATATGTACATTTCGTGTGTACTGTGACATGTCTGTTGTACAATCATCCGGCTTGTTGCCATGTCTGACAGGCGGACGGTGCAGAAAGAAGGGCCCAACAAAGGACGACAGTTCTGCACCTGCTCCAAACCCAGGGAAGACCAGTGCGGCTTCTTCGAATGGGCTGACGATGTCCCTACCTCAAACATCACTCCTGGTCTGTTCTTCTATCTAGTCTATAAGAAAAATATGGTTTGGTAGATTTGTAGAGAAAATTCCGTGGTAAAAGCGAAAAATTTTGCACAGAAACGTTTGTTCGTAAAAAATTTAAGGTTCTCCCTCAAAAATTTTCCATCTTTCGTGCGCTCATGTTATGTCATCTGTACTATGCCATGCTCATAACTCCTGTGCCACATTGTATATACTGCATGTGTATGTGTTACAATAATAATGTAGGTCAATCTGATCCCTGTGAGTGGTCGTCAAGCTGTAATGTTCAGTTCGTATGTAAACTAGGCAGCCGTGCGGTATGCTGGTAGACCTTTGCTACTGTGTCTGACGTACCACATACCCTCATCATGCAGGATTCACGCATTCCACGGATAGTTGCACCCACACTATCTGCTATAGTGTGCACTAATCATGGGGGCTATCCCCAGACCTAATGGGAGAATCCCATGCTGCGCCTAATGTATACACATAGTTTAAGCACTAAATCAGAGAGAATTGGGAAAAGTTACAGTGCAAAGTGCTAAGTTGGGAATCTAGTAACTCAACCCTAGAGCCTGTAACTTGAAATCATTGCCTATTGATTATGTGTATGGAAAAGTACACAATGTGTGTAGGTATGTAATGTATCACTTTGGGAGCTATATATCTGGCAGTGTCATAGTTGAAGTTCATCTCCAATTGCCGAGTGAGTCTACCTAGTCATCTGATTTTGGGGACTGGGACTGCACATACTGTAATGTTTTGTGATAAGTAACTGGAGCGTAAGCTAAAAAGTGATGGTGTGTGTTTGCTGCTGTATGTGAAGCACATATGAGGGTGTCGGTATTGAGAATCAGGAAGAGAAAAGCGTTGAAGTGCAAACCCTCGGCGTCTGATTAAAGGCTACCTTGTATTACAGGGAGGGGGAGAGGAGGAGGAGGAGGGGGAGGGGGAGGGGGAGGGGGTAGAAGGAAGCCGCCTACCTGCAGTGCCTGTGGACAGAGTGGCCATACGAAGAGAAGCTGCAGTGTTGGGAGACAGATGAACAGCTAGTTACCTCAGCTAGCTAACTGAGCTGTGTGTGTATTGTATATATGTGTCCATGCATGTCTTACTCCTGTTCTACTCCAAAATGCCAATTACCTCACAATGCACGTGCTGCTATCAATGGTTGAACGCTAAGCATTTTTGGCGTGGTACTATTATGAGTATATATGCAAGAATGACTTTGACTAGACCGTGTGACGACCTTACAAGGCAAACATGTTGGCTGTGGTAATGAAACGTCCTATACACTGACCTCCTGACGAAATAAATCGTCATGTGACTGTGTGCGTAAATGTGACGAAAATGCGAGAAACGAAACTAAAACCGGACGCTACGTGTTCATCCGTGCTAAATGTGGCAAACTGCATGACGTCCAGACTCCATACGTAAGTCGTGACAAAAGCACACACAAAACACCTTGTGTCCACATAGTATCCTAAAACCATCACATTGTAGCATTTTCTATAGTAGCTAGCAGCATCTTGAAGAGAGGAGACATCCTGTATATACAGGTGATCCCCTCTGTCTGGTGGTGGTTTAGCAGAGAATTCGCAGCAGAGTGCCTAAAAATTGTTCCTACATCTCTAATATTTTGACTCAAACCACGAAAGTCTTCATAAGCTTCTTTCGCTCACAGCGCCTCGATCGTGACTTCTTTCCTTGCTTGAGCAGCCTCACAAACACAGTCAAGTATCGATTTTCACAATGGGAATACAACAAAGTTTCCCTACAGAAACCCATTGGGGTCATACATAAGAATTCAATGGAAGTAGGGTTGCAGAATGGAGGATGGCACATGTGTCCTTACGTAGTTTCTTGCCAGGTAACATTCATACAGTGAGGAGACAAACACACAGACACGCATGAGAAAAGTTGGTGAACCAGTCATTGATGCGACTGGCTGGGAGATTACGAGTCTTGCGAGTTGAGGTAAACTGGTTTAGCTTGTTTGGTGGTCCTCACTTGTCTCTTCCTGTGCCGACTAGCCATCACCGTATTAGGCGCCACATTCATCTACACAAAATAAAAACAAACTCCGTTAATCCAAACGTGTTGCAACCCCTCTCTAAGGACACCCCTGAAATGAATCACTTCTCTTTTGCTTTATTGCTTCCAATTAAACCCCTAAATTAAGGATACCTCCCTAATATGGACACTTTTTTCTGTCCCATTGGTGTGGGGGTTAAACTGTCATGTGGTTAAGAAAGCTATTTATGGCATTGCTTTCTGCTCATAACTCTTTGTGTACCTCGAAAAGTAAAATTGTGCAATCCGAAAGTCTAAACGTATTGCTATGCCTATATATGGTGAATTCTAAATGTGCCTTCTGAATAAGTAGATATTGCACAGCAGTGAGAGGTTCAGCACGCAACCGGCAGTTGAGGATAAACTTCCTTCATTGTGAAAATCACAGGCGGGCGTTTCACTATTTATAGCTTTTGGAATCCCCCATCTCCAGTATAATGTCGCACATAGAAAGTGTGTAACAAGCGCCTGGTAATCATCACGTTTTCATGTGTGTTTTGACTAACAAAGCACCAAATATGAGGCCTGAATAATAAACAGCCCCCTTTCATTTTCCCAGCACATATCAAACAGCATTTTGAAATGTTGTAAACGTACACCGAGAGGGCGGCGTCACATGCTCAGTTTTGAAACAAATGTAGTACTTCTTACAGTATTATGAAACACTCTCTAACTGTAGTATGAATATAGCATTAGCTCACCAATCTTGGGTAGGGGATTCCATAGTGTTTGGCTGCACAATGTACAAAAAAGGTAGCATGCATTCACAGAAAAATTGAGGGGGACAGGGGATTTTTACCAGTGACTGTCAGTGCCCCAGTGGCAGACTAGAATAGACAAGAAACACAGACAGTGGACCATACCAGTATAATATACAGTTGTAATCGTTTTTCACTAGCGTCTGGATGGTATCGTTGCTGCCAAGTTTAGAGCAAGGTGTGGGGGCATAGGCTATCTTCCCAGCTACTTACAACGGTGTAATCATGTACATGTACCTAACAGGTTGTTGCCAGGTTTGGGCCATAACTAGCAGTGGGAGAGTTGAGAACATAATGCCACCTCTGCCCCACCCATAGCTCTGCTCCCGGAGGATGACACATAATTCTCAGGGAAAAGCCATTATTGTATATAGGTGAGGTTGAGACCACAGCGGGTTTTACACAGACACACGTGTGGCTAGGACAGCATACACATCCCCTTCTTAGCACTCTCAGCTGTCCTACAGTATGCACACACAAACAGCTCAGTTTAGTCTTGGAGAGAAACTCACCTAAAAAAAGGGACCGTGCGGTTTGCAACGTAGTAGTCTAAATTGCACCCGGAAAACTGTGTGAGTGTATTTTAGATTAACTTCCGTGGGGGAAGGGCCAGCTGATGGGGCTTTCTCGACGTACGTCTCCCCCATACACAAACAGTGGGCCGGTCATATTGAAATTGCGCGGTATATAGCAGCTGCATCCTTTTCAATAGTATATACATAGCAAAAACAGTGTTATTATACCATGAAATTTTCACCTCTGATTTCGGTACACCCCCTCTACAGTTAGTACAAATAGTAGCATCGTATGCACCCTAAAGAAGGCTTGTCGTGTCACAACCAATTCACGAAAGTAACAATCCTTCAGTTGAGCAACAGTCCACACTATTTTGTAATGGAGGTTATGCTAAAAATAGACTCTTCATCCTGCTTGGTCATGAGACATGAACTATGACCACACTTAACACATTTCCCAAGCCATGAATGTCTGTAACACAATCTCGACACTTCCTTCCTTTATCTGATACTTCCAGTTCGACTACGTAATTGCATGCCAAGCATAGCAATATTGCCATAACGACTGTTAAATCCATGCAGAGATTCAAATGTGCATTTTATGTAGGCAAAACAATACAGCATCAATAATTATGTTGGCACAAAACTCCGCAACAATTACCTAGAGCTATTCTTGAGGTTGCTTCGTCGATACACTGCTTGATTTCAACATCATCAGTCAGCTGTCAACATACACACACATCACAACACAAACATATGTAGGTGTTGTCATTATCGCTTGTTGAAAGTAGTGGAAAACCCTAAAAACCTAAGGTCAGAGAATGACCTCAATCAGACAGTTCCCATGCAATTTTGAGATAATATTCCATAAGCGTACATGTCATCACATGGTCTAATCTTCGTGTGCGGTTTTCTTTGTGTTGAAACCTTGTTTTGATGATGGTGCTATTGGTAATCACATGGCTTGGCAAAACGGTGACCTCTCAGACAAAGGTGAGGGTGATTTTTCGTAATATTGGTAAAGGGCATGACCTCCAGAGTGGACAACACACTCCATATAAGTTTCAGTTTTCGAAACACGAACGTATCTCCCAATACCAAACTGACTTTTCTGTAAACATGAACCAAAGTCATGCGTTGGTGCATGCTACTGTGTTCAGTGTGAAATGATGCAATTTTCGCCCACCAGTAAGACCCTCTCATGTGATGTAGCTAGCTAGCTACACAGCTAGCAGTAGATAGGATAGGCCTATGTACATGCTGGTTTTTCCTGAAGAGGCTGGTGGCCTCTGCTCTGATGTAGGCCTGCTCAGTGGCAGTCTGGTTTGCCTCCACCGCTTCCAGGACCTGGCAAGCTGCAGCACTTGTCGGTAGACCCGCAAAACTTCTCTCTTTCTCGCCATCACCCGCTCTGATCGAGTGAGCTGGCTAGCGTCGAGCTGCACACGTGTGGGCGGGGCGGGGCAACGTAATTATATATTAACGTTTGCGGGGGGCACGTGATCGCGGCGTTGTGTATATTATAAAAACGCTGAGTCTAGCTCGCGACGGACAAGAAAGAAGTTTGAATTGTGAAAGTTTCCCTGTTCTTGTGTCAGAAGTTTGGTTATACCGCACTCTTTACCTCTTTGTGTATCATAGTTAAGCTGGTCTCTCTGCTATAGTGCCTGTATTTTTATGTTGGCCCTCTCCGCCCCCTACGTACTCGGCTCTCTAGCTCCTTCTTTTCTAGTGTAGGGCTGTGTCTGTGCTTTTCTTACCGTTTGTACTCTCTCCACGCAGGCCAGAACTCCAGCTAACTGTCTACATTATGATGGCCGCGTCACGGGCACACCTACCACAAATGCCGTCACACATGGATTCAAGACCACACACTCACCCGACCCTCTTGCCTCGCGGAGTCGCCGCCCCCGTCCGCCAACCCCACAGCATACCCCACTCGTACATCTCCCAAGGACCACCGAAAAGCCTCCAATCATCCTACCACAGTGCCCCGCCCTCTCTACAACAATCACCTCCGAAAAGCTTACCCTCACGAACGCACCCCGTCCCTCGTCAAACTAGTGAAACCAGCGTAGCATCTCTCGAGAATGGCAGATATCGATTGGGGGAGGTTCCCAGATCGGAGCACCCCAACGAAGACAGACACTTTATGCTAGAAGACGAATACTGTAAAGTCTACGGTGTCTTTGACGGTCACGATGGACCGCGTGCAGCCGGATTCGCTTCAAACTTCTTCGTTCAGTACTTTAGCTCAGAGTCTTGGAAAGCCGTGATAAGTTTGCCTCCCAAGGAACAGCGGGTACAGATCCCTATGGCACTAAGAGAATTCTTTATAGCTGCAGAGAAAGAGTTTTTTCAGAGTATCGGTCGCTATATTGACGAGAGAAAACAACTTCAAAGAATCATACCTCAGGTATACATAATACATAATACATAACTTGGTGCTTTAGCCACTTTGCTGACTTTGGTGCTATGTTTTTAGACAAGTACACAAGTCATTACTGAGCTGTGTGTGTGTGTGTGTGTGTGTTGTTTGTGGCAATCGTGTTTGTGAACACCTAATCCTCAAGGGACCATTATCTAGTGTCTAGAGAGGCGGCCTAGGATGTGATCTAATGTTTCGGTTGATCAATGGCAACAGTAACTATGACTACATTGTGAAGCCTTTGCCTGTCTTTGGGACATCTTGAACACTCATTCCTGTGAATCCATTTATGCATTCACAGTGTTGTGTATGTAGCCATGGTAGCATCGTGCATGAATAACATTGTGCACACGTGATATATTATTATATGTACATATATGGATACCTGGTAGAGTTTTGCATTGCCAGGAAAGACTACGTCACTTCCAATCCTCATAAGGTCACAATTTCCTTCAACTTTGCTCTCCTTTCCACTTATATGGCCATACTGGATCTAGCAGTGTGATTCATTACTAGCGCATACAATGAGCGGCTAGATGTACATTACTGGCATCGTAGGGCTAGCGACTCATTACTAGTGCATACTGTGGGGACATACGATGTACTAGCACTCATTACTAGTGCAACAACCATATCCTCTCCCACAGAACATGACTTCCTATGAGGCGTATCTCACCTACCCCGTCGAAGTCGCCAGGATGCAAGAACTGGAACCAAAGATCTCCGGCGGGTCCACAGTGGTCCTGGCGGTCGTCTGCGGGAGCACGCTCTACGTGGCCAACGTGGGCGACTCCCGCGCCGTCCTGGTCAACGAGAACGAGAAGGGGATCCAGCAGGTGCTCCAGATGAGCATGGACCACGGCGTTGAGAACATTGATGAGTTGAAGAGACTGATTGACCTGGGGCTGGACCGAGAGCAGCTCCAGCGCTCCGGACGGCTGGGTAGCCAGGAAAACACCCGCAGTATCGGAGACTACTCCATCAAGGACGGATACAAGGACGTGGACACCCTACAGTAAGCTTTTACTGAAGTACAGTAGAAATTCTCTGCCTCGCGTACAATACACAGTGGACCCAGTGAAAACTTTCGCTTTTCGGTCTGTCTGTCTTTTTGCTATTGTGTAGTGTCCATAACAGTCCCTTTTCCTCTGATTTTCCTCACTCCTCGCTTGTTTTCTGTTCCCCTCTCTTTCCCACGGAGTTTACATTCAGCTTTGGTGTGTTCCAACGCCTTGTTGTCCCATCTTCCCGTCCCAGTGTGTAAACTGAACATTGCTGGGTGTGTCGGCACTTTCACTGTAGCCCAGTCTTAATACTACTGCATATTATGTGTCGACAGGCATTTAGTGGGAGAGAGCTTTGTGAGTACTGTAGTAAGGAGAAAAATTCCCAGTGCATATTTTTACGTTCTGCTGATCATGACAAGTGCAGAGTAAAGCGAACCAAGAATAAAACAACCTGGCATTGGTATATACAGGTGTGACACTAAAAGCACCTGTAACAACCCAGCATTCCAATTAGTGCACCTGAAACAATAGCTTCGACTAACACTGACCTGGTTACTGTGGTGTCCCTGGAGAAGTCTATAGGAATGTGTATCCATACCTTTGAACCATAGCACACTCCCTGGAATGATAATGCATGTTCACCCTGTATCTTCCTAGTCTAGCCTCTAAAATTGCAATGTCTAGACTGCAACACATCGTGCATGATCCCTGGGCTATTATTTCGTCTGCCACTGCCACACGCTCTCTGCTATGTAGCTGGTGTCTCTGAAAGAAGGCTGTATAATTTAGGGTACAGTAGGTAGTAAATATTGTCAGTCAGTGTTAGGCTGCAGGACTTGTCCCCTGCATGCCTGGCTGTGTGCTGGCGTATCCTGTTCAGATATCATTATCATACTCTAGTTGTTCATGTGTATATTATCGTGCCTACAGCAGTTTCCCTCTTAGAAGGAAATAATATGCACTTTTTCGAACCTGCTGCATGTAGTACACAGTAGTATATGGAAGTTGTTTAGCCTCTCCCCCAATTATTGGTTGAGAAATACAGGATATTGTGTCATTTTTGACATACAGTTTTGTAAAAGACTCAGATGGCTGTGTAATTTCATGTGACTTCCTTCTGTGGCTTATTTCAAGGCCAGTTAGGATGGAGTTCCCTATTGCAACACCACCACCACCCGAGCATGCAGTTCCTTATTGCGCAAAGGCCACTGAACTTATTCTGCCGCACTGTCTGCATAATGTATATACAGTAAATCAAGAAATCTGATTGGTCCACATGTTCTTCCTTTTGTTCATATCGCTATTATCCTCTGTTTTCGCAGGCATTGCAAGGCACAGCCGGGTCTGTGTGAACCTTTCGTTGAGGTTATCCCCATAACACCACACTGCAAGTACATCATCCTGATGACAGACGGAGTCTACAAGAGCATCGAGGCGCCGTTTCTGCAAAAGGCTGGAATCGAAACCAACAAGGTCCTCATGACCACGGTGAACGAGGAAAGAGATCAGCTCGTGGACCAAAAGAGAAGGTTCGATGTTCTTGCCGATCGTGTCCTCGGCGTATCAGGCTATTCACGAAGATGCATACAAGAACCACGCTGCACGAGATATCCGTTCACGGTGGGCCGTCGCATGCCGCAAGAGGGACGATATGACACTACTCATCCACCAGTTTGCCACATAGGAGTCTAACACACATCTCTATCTTCCACACCCATCATGAGAGTGAAATTTATTAAAACCATTTGTACCTGTGTGATCGCTTTTTGCCTAAAATTTCGTCCAACACTGTGCAAAACTCACATGCATTTGTTGCGTTCGGGGAAAGATCGGACACAACATGAAAGAGACAAAGATTGACGTAATAAAGCTAGCAGTGCAAACGGTTAAGACACACTATGTACAAAATAATACAGCCAACACGGAAAAAGAGAGAAGAGGGAGTTGTATGGAGGACTGAGGAGAAAGAGAGTCTGGCAAGTGTGGTAGAGCATTCACTCTTCAGAGCACAGACTTCTATTAGTGGCTTTCTTCTTTTCGTCACAAGACCGGACCGGCCTTAGGTAGCTACCCGGTTTATCGCGTTGATTTCGTTCGCACTCCCAGAGGCCTCATTGCTTCGCCCCGGGACAAGCATCGGACCCCCACCGACCAACGAGCCTGAAATCCCTGCTCAGACCGTGTGCGGGGGGAGTTGCTGCAAGTCCCGGCGATGGCTGATGGCCGCGCTGAATCCCGGTATCATCCTAGCCCCGGCATGGGAATAGTCTGTTCGCTCAGTGTGTCCAATAGGTAGCCTGAGCCAGCCTCCTGTTGCAGCTGCGACTCAGGGTTGGGTATGATTAGAGCAGGCACATGCCCGGTCGTGCGGCGTATATATAGGGGAGACATGTTGATCCATGAGACACGATAGGACCCAGCAGTCCGATCACAATTATGTACACAATTTACACCCCTAACTGCGAAGAACACCCCCGAAACACCTCTTGTAAGTAAGGCACTACTCGAGTGCCATTGCTGTCGATACGGAAAACGAGAGCCGGGGCTACCACTGTGCGGACGCGGATTCAAGGACGAACTGTCGAATGAGAAAAAAACGGCACACAAAGATTTGAATGTTGCAAACTATATAACAGGATTACGAAGCCAGGAACTACGCTGTCGGCGTATTCAGACTGCCTCCTGCGTTGTCCAGTCTCATTTTGAGGGTGCTTCACGGACATGTAGCCGCAGTTGACTAGCCTATGTTGTTGTGGGTGAAATATCTTCCGTCGGAAGAGAAGACAGGAATCCTTGCAACCCGATAATCACACAACTCTCATGAAACCTGTGGTGTGACGTCAACAGCTATTTAAAAAGGGGGGTAGTGGGCGCGAGCACCTGTGCGACCTTGATCAGTCGATAATCCCACAAGTTGATGATGAACAAAACTTTTGGAACCGCATGCTGTTATTCGCACACACCTCATAAAATGACTGCAAACACGAAATTTAAGCCGAGAGGTCAGCCAGTGGTCCTCGTGCAACAAACCCAACCAGACAATTACATCCAGGGGAGGTTAAGTTGTCAAAGACGTTCACAATGCTTGAAGGTTTACTTGGGAGCACAATTTTGTGCTATACTGAGGTGTTTACATTATGTATTATAAACATTTTTTTCTTTGCCAAGCCAGACAAAACCTAGTGCCTCTAAATTCGGGAAATTTCTATATGTAAGTTATGTTTGCCTGAAACGAACACGAAACATTTGCAAAGAAAGCGTCCAAAAGCGAGATTACGGTTCGGATGACGAGAGACAACATCGGGCAGCAGCGCGCCCGCAATTGAATCAGAGGGCTTCTTTTTTTTTTCAACCCATTTGGGTTCGCACAGCCAAAACTCGCCCCCAATGGGGGCTACAAATGGGGAGTAGGACGCCGGGAGGACGGTGCATTCGGGCGCTGGGACACGTGCTAAGCAACTTTCGTTATGAGAACGAAGCAAGAAGAAAGAAGGATGAGAAGGACAAGGATGGGCGAGAAAAAACAAAAAAAAACCGAGGACCCGAGTTTTAGGCAAGTAAGATCGTGCACACCGGTTTCGTACATAAAAGACGCTGTGACCTTATTGCTTTTGCGTGGTTTCTGCCGGATCACAGGAAAAGAAAACGGCTTCAGGGTTTACAAGTGATTTACCAATTTTTAAAATTTTTGAAAACAAGTTTCAATACATAAAGTAAGTAAAGTGACCATACCGGGAGGAGGTTTTTCTGCCCCTTGGCGCATTAGGTAGTCTGTAAGTGCTTTTTCTCCTCGGTGCCTGTAGCCCTTCATTTCTCTACTGCTCCTGTCCGGAGCGGTTAACTAGTTAGAAAAAAAAAAAAATTCGTCTTTTTAAAAAGGGCAACAATTGTTTGATTTAAGTGCAAAAATCGGAAGTGATGATAGATTGTATGAGCTCCGTACGCTTAAAAAAATGATGATTAAACTCAACTGGGCACGTGCACGGTGAAGCTCTAAATAAAAGCCAAAAAAAAAAATGCACGTAATTGCTGTCAGTAATTTTGTACATTAGAATGAGAATGTTACTAAGCACGCCGCTCACCGGATGTCGTGGCATATTAGTCCATATGAGACATGGATCTACAATGTGTGTTTGTACCAAGAGGGAGGCAAAGAGACACGGACTAGGAGGAACTCTTTAGGTGTAGAACCAGAACTTCATTGAAGTATTTCCGCCTTCGTATCCCGGAGTAACGGCTGTTGTGTATATGCTCAACATGAGTAAACAGAGGGGGAAGCTAACAAAGCTTGTGTATTCTGACCACGCGAATATTCTGGCGCAAGGCCATGATCTATCATGCCCATAATTGTGAAGGATCAATGGCCCCCATGCATAGAGTAATAGTCACAGAAAAGAATGGAAACACGTGCAACAAGTCTTCGCAATTACAGCGTTTCCATCCCTCTCAGGGTCTAATAATTACGTAGTTGTCAATTGCGATGTGATGTTGTAGTAGGTGGGAACGGAAGGAAGAGTAATAGGCTGGGGGAATACGCCACGCTTGATATAGAGTCGACCGCTATTGTACATGGGCCCTCCCCCACATGGAAGCCTGTAGCAGTCGGTGATTGTTTCTTCGTTAAGAAGACCTTGACGCCTTCGGTACCGGGGCGTCAATGAGCCCCCCCAGGCTGTAGAAGGATCCGTTATCCGCAGGCACCTGACCGCACTTACGTCTGAGGAGGATGGGTCTCTTCAGCGTTGGCACAGCGGGCATAGACGGTCACAATTGATCTTGGCTGCGATATGTCTGCCAGTCGTACAGGAGGAGATGTATAGGCCATCTTGCGTTGGTGAGTGTGTGTAGATTTGGGTGAACTTGAGCTAATTCGCACCAGCATGGCCACTTCTCCATTGCGTGTAAAACTCACGAGGCCGATTACTTTTAGGCGGTAGCTTCTCTACTCAGGTCAGCTACAACTGTTCCCTCGTCAGGATTCGAAACGTCAAGACACCGATGGATATCATCGTAATGAACTCGAGGCTTGCGCGCACCGGCCGGATCGCGGGCTGGAGCAACAGATCGCCACGCCCCTCTCTTGACTTGCGCGTTCAGTTTGTCTCACATTCATGCTGACACAGGTAATACCCACTGCCAGCAATTTTCATAGCACACACTGTCAACTGATGCGCAAGAACACACACCATGCCACAGAAAAGGACTGTACCACATGTTGTATAGAAACGACACGTATGTAATGGCTTTATATCTGATCTCCGTGGGACAGGGTCCGTGAGGGAACTTGTCGAACTTTATGATGGGTTTGATCAGTCCCGTTCTCCTCCTCTTCCCTTCACATCCAGCCGGGTCGTCTCATTTTCTTGCCGTCAAGCTCCCAGTTCTCAAACGACTTCC